TCGATGTTCACATAATCACATCATCTCCCAATGGTATTGAAACCCCTTCCTTCCCTATGTTACGATGTTGATGTCCCCACTATGTCCCTCCGCTATGTCCTGCCGGCCAATCATTTTTATGCAAATATAATATATTTCCGAAAAGTAACATTTCATAAACTTCTTCCTCTCCCTCTTAGAAAACCCACCTGTGCAACACGTGCGGAAAACTCTTCCGGACCATGAAATCCCTTCGCAACCATTTGAAGACTTGTGTCAAGTAACTGACGACGATGCATAACATAATCTGACATCATATTTGAATTTAAAAAATGTTGAATAAAACTAAATAAAACATGTAAAAAAAACTTTATACTTTTACTTGTGGATCTTTTTTAGTTGATTTTTTTAGTTATATACAATATACATTCCTACGCAAAATAAGATGTATAAAAAATATTACCATTCTTCATAAACCTCTCTGAAAATGAATTCAGAAATAAGTCAGTCTTCAGGTAAGCATACATCGAATATTTATGAACAGTAAAATAATTTACCAAGTACATATGTATTGGTATCTGCTGCATAGAAGGTCTAAATGTGAATAGGTACATATGTACATATGTTATAAATATATGAAAGTCTTGGGAATTTTTTTGCTTAGGATTAGTTGACCTGAAACTGGTCGGAATTTTTTCCATCGACTGGACAGAAATAGAAGTCCTAGAAAAGTTGTATATACCCTCCACATTCCACCGGAATTTTCCCATGCTTCACTCCATCCCAACTAAGGGTTTCCATTTTAGCACAATTTTACGAAATCTCCCTCCACTCGCGTTTTACACTCCTCCAAGTCACCAACAAACAACGTCTTAAAAATATTTCGCGTAACGTTGAGATATTTTGTGCCCGAATAAACCCAAACATCTATTTAAAATAGAAAGGATGTCGTTTTACAGTGTCGAAGACATCACGCCGACCCTCGATACGACCGATATCCCGGTCGACCTGCTGTACGAGGATTTCGATCCCAATCAAAACTTGGACTGGGTCGACGAACTACCAAAATTAGGTAAGTCATTTTTCAGTATCAGTTATGTTACATACGTCGGATATGAATGAAAAATGACTTTTTCCATTTATTGACCTACAGTCGCCAAACCTTCTGAGAATGTTTATGGTCACTAGTAGGTCACGTAGGTCAAAGCATATTTTCTCATATTGGTCATATTTTCGGGTTTTAGGACATACTCATATTCCCGATCATATTTTTGGGTTTTTTCGTTCATTTTATCATTTTTGGCCAAATTCTAAGATTTAGCAACCAAATCGACAGAAAATGACAAAAAATTCAGTTTTCTCGCAGCCTGCATATAATGGAATTCGTGGCATGGGCGACCTGACAAAATATAAAAATTTCAAATACTTCATTTCATTTCGTTAAATTTATGTAAATAAGTAAGACCTTCTTACCTCGATTATCCGATTTGTCTGCAATTTTCAAAATTAACCAACTGCCACAGCAAGATCGGTTTAATTGGTTACTTTTTGTTTTGTGTCCATTGATAAGTACGTTTGAAAACTTAATACTATGTATAAACTACTAGTGCATTACAAAATTAGCAAATTTCCTTAAATTACCTTTGGAACCAAACTTTTTACTGCGCCGATCGCAAGATTGATTGGTTAAAATATTCAATTATCCGTAAAGGACGTTTTCACTTAAAAAAATCGCTACAAATTTACAATTGCGAATTTTGCTTACAACGCGATTGAACTTTTTTAATACCGGAAGCACTTTCTTCAAGAAATAAATTACAAATGTTTGGGAATGTTGTTAAAACTATGATATCATAATTTCTCATTTCGACCACTTCCAGAACCGCAAAGAGTGCAAATCACTGCACCTCCCCCTCCACAGTACGATCCGGACATGGTCCCCATCAGCCCACCCGCAACACCTGACCCCCGCCGTTCCGCCGCCCCTCCTGCACAACCCAAGACGATCAGCGCGATACAGGCTTTGGTCATGAGGAGGCAACGAGCTGCAGCCGGTCCCACGGTTCAAGCCGCCCAGGCCAGCGTCCCCCCGGGATCACAAGTGCCGGCCGGAAATGGGCACGGTTCTGGAGTCAGGCCCCCAGCATTCATTGGTAAGGCTAATTTTCTGTTATTTTTCGAAAAAATGTGAATTTTTAATTGTGTAATGGGGGATTAGTTTTCTTAATGAACCATCAAATTCGTGCAGCAATGACAATATATACGTACTGAACATATAGATATGTACATATGTATTGTCATTGTGTTTATAGTGGTACATTTATTCAGCGGTATATATGTACATACATGTACTACCGGTATTTAATTGGTAAATGGTGGGAAAATGACACTTTTGCATCACTTTTGGACTTTTTACAACTTTTTAGCACTTTTTACCACACTTTATGAGGTGTTAAAAAGTGTCAAATTGTCAAAAATTGATAAAATGGTAAAAATGATGAAATGTGAAAAATTGATAAAATGGTAAAAATCGGCAAAAAAATGGTAAATAATGGTAAACTTTATACCACTGCGGTAAAAATCACCCCACATGGTAAATTAAAAAAAACGATTCATATACATATTATAAAAGATAATCCCTTAATTACACAATTTTTGCAAAATAATTATTTCAAATTGCATCCACTAATAAATATTTTGTAATTTTCTTCTACCAGGGTACTCTGGGTTTACCCTTCAGGACAACTCTAGGACTTCAATCGCGCATCAGCCGATTGCCTATGTCCCATTGACACCGCCCCCACAACCGGAAAGCCCGTCTGAACAAGACGTCATGTGGATGTTGGGCCTACCTCAACAAAATAATACCTCCAGCTAAATTAATAACAATGCGATGGTGTGAAGTGTAAAACGATCCGATTTTGGTGAAATTTTGAGTCCCGAGAGTTAAAGTCAACACAATAAATGTTCTTGACGCAATTTGTGCGATGGTTCGAATTTGTAAAAATATTTGAGGGCAAAGTTGAAAATTTATAAATTTTTACCTCAAATATTTTGAAAAATTTTAACCATTTACAGAAACATTGGTTGTGCTGACTTTGTGGAACTGCATAATTTCAAAATTTCAACAAAATTAGAGTGTTACACTTCACACCATCGCATTCCAATATTTCGGTGATACATCATTCGTGAAGATGATCACATTAATATAACCTGAATATTCATAATAAATCTAGTATGTACATGTATGTATGACATACATATACATACTATATACAAATATAAAGAACGTCCGGGAATGAATGGGAATGCGCGCTCTAGCGAGTATATTGACAAATCAATAAACCCGCGAACTATAATAATTTAAATTTCTGAAAGCCCACTTCATTAGGGTCAATTTGGTATATCACTCTTAAATTTCAAAAATGGATAAGGGTAGAAGAAGCTTGTTTGAAAGGGAGCTGTTAGCAAAACGAGTGATGGAGTTCTACAACACGACAGCCAACCGAGACTCCAAGGTGACCTGGAACTTTTTTAAGCAGGAAGGAATTCCAAGTTCAAATGTGTATTCCTACATAAAAAAGTTCAAGGATTCCGAAAATGTGCAATTCAAGAAGCCAGCTGGTCGTCCGGCGAAGCTAGCGACCACTCGAGTGAAAAATAGAATTGAAAAAATTTTCAAAACCAAGCCATCAACGTCAGTAGCTGTAGCTGCCAGGAAAGTCAAAATTTCCAAAAGCTACCTGGGGGAAATTAAGGTCCATAAATTAGGAATCAAAGCAAGGACCAAAAAACCTGCACCAAATTACAAGCCCGTACAAGAAAGTCGGATCAAGGATTGCTGTCAAAAATTGTTGAAGAAAATGCGTGGAAAAGTAGTGATCCTGGATGACGAAACGTATGTTCCGGTTGACCCTTCAAATCTTCCAGGGCGTCATTTTTTTCATAGCTCGGATCCCTCTGAAGTGGCTTATGAAGAAAAAGTACGAAAAAAAGACAAATTTCCAAAGAAATATTGCATTTGGCAATGCATCTCCAGTCACGGACATGTATCAGACCCGGTAGTTCTCGAAGGGAATATCAATCAAGATATTTATCTGAAAAATTGCGTCAAGGCTGGATTGGAAGCATTTATTAATAGGTTTCACAAAAATGATAAAGTTTTGTTTTGGCCTGACCTCGCCACTTGTCACTATGCAAAGAAAGTGACCGAGTACCTCAGAAAGAAAAATATTGATTTCGTACCAAAAGATATCAACCCACCTAATGTACCCCAACTCCGCCCAATCGAAAAATTCTGGGCACGTTCTAAGTCAGTATACTCCCGGCTTCAAGATGTGCCTGACACCTTTCGAAAATTCAAAGGACGATGGAAGAAAATCACCTCGGAAGTGGCAAAAACTTCGGGAAAAAATTTAATGAAAAATCTTCGCAAGAAAATCGAACTAGTCGCCAACGGGGGTGTGGCGGCCTTAGCTATTAATTAAATTATGTAGGTACGTATTTGGTATTATACATATGCAAAAAGTTTAAAATTCCGATAACTCATTGTGATTTTATGACCACATTTTCAGACCATTCCCATTCATTCCCGGACGTTCTTTATGTACATATCTGTACAGTAAAGACATATTTTTATTTTATTTATTTTTTACTTTAATCTATATTAAATATCTATATTATTATCAATATTATATCTATTTAAGTTTTTTTAAAATATCAGATAGGGCCCATTTTTGTGCGGCGCTGGTCGCCTATCTTTTTAAAACATTCTTTTATGAATGATATATATGTAAAAAATTTTACTCTGCGAATACAATTTATACTCCTATGAATAAAATTACAAGAAATTAATATGAAAATTTTATATGGCACATATTAAAATTCACTTCAGCATTTTATCGTGAAAAAATTCATTTTTATCAAAATTTTACGACACGTCTTAAGTTACAAAAATTATATAAAAAGTCGTCTCATTCATGAAAATTGAGACTAAATCTCACTTTCACTCATATCCGCGAATAGCTCATTTTCATAGGACATCCTTTTACAGTGTAAATACAAAATAATTTCAATTTTAAATTAAACCTTGCTTGTTATTTACAAATTGTAATTGTTAATTGTTGACACATTGCGTTAAATAATTCGATTTCCAATGAACCTTCGACATCCAATCTTCTCTAAGGTATGTGCATGCAAGAAATGACTTAAATATTAATTGTATTATTTTATTATTTGTGCTGCATACTAAATTACAAATCGTGCCTTCTCTCACAATTTACAGGTGGATCCAGATAAACCTAACTTTAATTAAGGTGAGCTAAAAGTTTTGGAAAATATGGTAGCGTTCCTTAATTTAAATTTCCATTATTCATGATCACCAACTTTGAACTTGCAAGGCAAGGGCGAATTTTTTACGGCTTTAACTTCAAAGTGAAATTATTTACATCAAAACAGAAAACGTTGCAAACAAGAAACCTACAGTTTGGAAATTGCAATAATTTTAATTTTACAGTATTTCGTATTTATGTAATGCTTAATTCTCAGAGAGCGATAAAAATACAAAATTTCGTTCCATTTGCAGATTCATTAAAAAGTAAATAACGTGTCATTTTATTATAATTTAAGTTTATGATAACCAATTCGTCCATAATTACAAATTTAATATGCATATATATGTAGCGTTGGTTATAATACTTCTATGAATTTAATTATTTTTTATGCATAGACTGAAAGGGGAATCCATGGCGACGACGACGATCCCCTCCATGTCGCCATTTGGCGAATGTTGTTCCCTCTGCCTTACCCAATTGTCCATCCCCCCGACGAAACAGGCTTCCTTGCCGCCCACCTTTCTTCGCCAGCTCGTCGACCTGGTCGGTTTCGACGTGGCGCTCCCACTCTGCGACGGTTGTCATGGCGACGTCACCTCCGTCATTGATATTATTCGACAACTTGACAAACTACAGAAGGCGTTAAGTCGCGGAGTGGAGGGTGTAAGGGAGAAGAAGAAAGTTAAGACGGGTGGGTCTAGTTATTTGTCGCTTGTTACTTTTAATGACAGTAACTTAATGTCTATTATGTTAATTTTTGTACTACTTTAGAATTGGTCGCATAAACGGCATAAACGGTGGGGAGGACATGTCTTCCGGAGCAACAACATGGCTTACTCCACCAGAAGTGAAGATGGAGCAAGAAGAAATTGAAGAATGGATTACACCCGAAATTCCTTCAGAGGGAATCATGGCATCGCATCCCCCTCCGACCATGGGACATTTTTTAAAACCTTTCTCCCCCGCAGGGATGACGTCACGGCAAGATGAAAATTACCAAAAACAAGATGGTGACCAACAAGACCACAAGATTAGTAACGACGAGACAGAATCTTCTTCTGGTGACGATGACGACGAAAGTGGCGTCGATGAAGTCAGCCCTCCCGAATCACCATCCGACAAAAAGCCACCAACGATATCCACTCCTCGTCAGGGGACGCAAAAACGATCAAGCGTGACAAGAAATTTCGGACTATTGGACGAATTAATTACTACTCTATCGGTAATTTTTTTTACGTTTCCAATATTTGGTTTTCAACTGATTTTGATATATATGTAAAAGTATTCAGACTTAAAAACTAACTTTTTTGGCTAATTAATACATATAATTTTGTTAGTTAAAGCCACCACTCTTCCAATGCAACGCGTGCATGAAAAAATTCAAAACCAAGGGTCACATTAAATACCACGAATTTTGTGGGAATGCTGATAGTGAAAAGCCGTTCAAGTGTGACCAGTGCGACAAAGGATTTATTAGCAAATCCCACTATGAATATCACCTGAGAACCCATACCGGTAATTATTGTAGTCTAAGTATGAATTATCGCAAAATGTTCCTGAAATTGTAAAATAAATGCTTTAAACAAATTCTTAAACTTTTTAGGTGAAAAGCCGTACGCCTGCTCCGAGTGTGACCAAAGTTTCAACCAAATGGGCAGACTTACGCAGCACATGTGTAATTCTCACGGTGGAGAAAAACGTTACGTTTGTGATACATGTGGAGCTGGATTTACAACAAGACAAAGACTGCAAGCCCACGATGTGACCCACACTAGAGAAAGGCCCTTCTCCTGCAAACACTGCGACAAAACGTATGGTGATGGGGCGAGCTTACGCAGACATTTGATCACTCACACAGGTAAATTTTGCTTTAAAATTTTAATTTTTCTTTAAATTTTGTGTAGTCACGTGGCACGTCAACTAAATAAGTAAACGCTTCGCTTCGTAAATATCTTCGCAACTTTCGGATGTTTGCGAAGAATTGCGATGCGACAAGAAATTAGATTGCTGTATTTTTTGCTAAAAAATATGCGACACAAAAAGACATCTATTATCGCAGTAAACAATGTTTCGCAAACTTGTCATCCAGAAAATTGTCATTTCTCCGGTTATGTACCTAGTTTCATGCAAAATAAGCCGACACCGATTTCGCAAAGTTAATTTATGAAGCAAAGTTTCTGACTGACGGGAATAAATTCCCACAGTTTCTTTCAAATTTTCTCCATTTTTTGAAATTTCATTCTTGTTTATTAAAAAACATACAGGTGAGCGACCCCACGTGTGCAGTCATTGTGGAAAAAGCTTTCAACACAAGGATACGTTGGACGCTCACATGAGAACGCATTCGGATGTGCGGCCCTTTGCATGCGATCAATGTACGGCAGCTTTCCATGACAAGAGGGATCTCCAGAGGCACGCTCTTACTCATACGGGTATGCAAAAAACCTTGCCAGGTTTTTTCGATTTTGAAAAAACGGTTTCCAACTTTGTAAAACTGCTTTCCGATTTCCCTAAGCTTCGTTCGTTTTAGTATTTTCCAATGAAAAACCGGTTTACTAAAATTTACCAAGGTCGAAATAATGGAAAACCGGTGTTCAAAATGTTCCGATTTTGAATACCACGAATAATACGAGTTAAAATATATCATTTGTTCATATTTTTACTTTTAAAGGTGAACGTCCTTTCAAATGCGACTTTTGCGCAGGGGAATTTCGCCGAAAGGACGGTCTTCTACGTCACATGAAGAGCATCCATAAGGAAAAAGTGATGCCGTAATGAAACGATGCTCAATTTACGAGATATGCGAAGGTTGTCCTCGAGTACGCTCATTATTTCAAAAATTAATTCTTCATTGATTGTTAAATTGTTTTGTTTATTCTCACAAAGAAAATAAGAATATACAAGGAATATGTATGTAAATTTATTGCATCCTATTGTCACTTTCGCGGTGATAAACAAGTAATTTAACTACTTGTTTACTTACTACGTAATACGTAGTAATTCGCTTCAATCGACGAGTAACGTTATGCGAGCAGAAAATTGAATGCTTTCCTCTTTGGACTCGTCTCCGGAAGTGACTGTACCAATTTTCTTGCAATAACGGCAATAACTCCGCTGACGACAAGCAGGGCACCTAACAAACTATGAAAGACAGCGAATTTTACAATTTATTGTACAAATTATTACGGTACACATTGCTACCTAATCCAATCCGGCGGAAGTCCGATAAGAATCCATTGCCACCCGAAGGTAAAAACTACCTCGGACGTTTTAATTAATCTACAAAAAATTTATGTTTATTCAAGTATTTTAATTGCCTAAATTTTGAAGCCAAGAACTTTGATGACATATTTTACAAAATTTTTAATAAAAAAGTGAACTTGCATTTTTAGTGTTTCTTTTTGTAAAATTTTGGCAACTCGATTACTAATTTTTTAGCCACAAATCTCCGAAGTTTACGCAGTTTTACAAAATTACGCATACATAAATTGCATCATCATTTCGTTTAATTCAAATATTCTGTTACCCAACAATACCAGCCTCCTCAACTTGTAGTCCGAGAACTAAGAACAAATTCCCTACGGCCCACGCCACCCCGATCGTGGACATGATGCCAATATCCTCCCAACTCGTTTGGTTCGTGGTAAATTCCTCCAATGTGTTGAAGACCACGGCGAGCACGATACTTTCCACGGAAGCCCAAACATACAAGGTGAAGTTGAGCATGGCATGGTGAACAATTTGCAGCCATCGCACCACCACGATCACCACGGTGATCATTATCATGGCGAAGGACGCTATGGCAACACCAATCTACATTTAGGCAATTATGCTGGATTAATTTTAAGCAATTATACATATGTGAATGGTTAAAAAAACTGTAACTTCTGCTTGTCCATGTGCACTACTCAAATGTACGCATTTTTTAATCAGCAACGTCAATAAAGAGCTTAACTGTTTCGTCATTATATTCTGCATAATCACGTCAATTTTATTTTGGATTTCTGCATTGCTACGATTTTTTGACACATTTTTGGAATTCTTCTAACCGGCAATTCCGGCATTTATAAAACCACCCCCACCCAAATCCACCCCCACCCCCACCCCCATCCACCCCCACAATTTTTATGGGGCAACGTGAGATACCTTGGGGCAAAGTGAGATTCTATTTCATATTGGGGTATCGTTCGTAATTAGCGAGCGGAGCGAGCAGGTTAGGTTAGATCAACTAGGTACGCGGAAAGCCTGGAAGGCTGAGCTAGCAAACCTAGCTAGCTAGGCTAGATAGAACCTAGGTAGCTAGGGTAACTAGAACCTAGGTAGCTAGGCTAGATAGAACCTAGGTAGCACTTCTAGCTAGCTAACCTAGGTAGCCTTGCCAGCTAGCAGAGCTACCTAGGTTAGCTAGCTAGAAGTGCTACCTAGGTTCTATCTAGCCTAGCTACCTAGGTTCTAGCTACCCTAGCTACCTAGGTGCTAGGTTCGCTCGCTAATTACGAACGATACCCCAATATGAAATAGAATCTCACTTTGCCCCAAGGTATCTCACGTTGCCCCATAAAAATTGTGGGGGTGGATGGGGGTGGGGTCGTTGAGGGTGGGGGTGGGGGTGGATGGGGGTGGGGGTGGATGGGGGTGGGGTGGGGGTGGGGGTGGATTTGATGGGGGTGGGGGTGGATTTGGGTGGGGGTGGGGGTGGATTTGGGTGGGGGTGGGGGTGGTTTTATAAATGCCGGGCAATTCACGCTGGTCTTGGTACCATAATACTTAAAATACGTAAATGCTGTAAACTTACAAATAAGTATTTGCAAAATTTTGTAAAGAAAACTAGATAAAATTTTTTTATAAAGTTACTCAGATCAAGGGCGTCTTTCCATTTTGTTAAAGTTTGTAAAATTAGTTTACAAAAAAGTTTATGAATTTTACTACTTACAAATGACTGCGTGCATTGCCTCTATAAATATTTATGATTTGACATTAAATCGTACCACTGTTTCCTGATCGAAATCATCCTTCCCGGTCAGGATTGGCGGTCTTGTCATGACACCAATACCGATCATGGCCATAATTGCGGCCAACGTAGGGACAACGCCACACCCTTCGCCCAGACACAACCACCCCGCGAAATGGACCGTAATGACAGAAGCGGCCAAAATCGTTCGCATATCTCCGACAGAAATATACTGAAGTGACCAGATGACCACAAAGGGAATTATGCTGCTGGCAAAGGTGCGAATCTGAATAAAAATTTGCAGACAAATAAATTATGTACAAATTAAACTGGATCAATTCTAAATACTGTATTAAAGGTGAATAGTGATTGAAGTCCAATTGCATCATTCTGACGAGCAAATAATTGCGATGCTTTAGATATTATGCTAATTAGCACTAAAAAATTGAGAATTATTTAATGACCTATAAAAGCTAATCATTAAACGAACAGTTTCGTGGGTGCGAAAAAAAATTGTGATTTTATTCATATTTATTTTTTTTACAGATTTTCATTTCTCCTGATATCCGCAATGATATCGGAAAATTACATTTCCGAATAACATGAAACTTTTTGGAAATTAAAAAAATCGAAAATGTAGATGTGCACTAAACTTACCGCCACAAAGAAAATTGCCGTTTTATTTTTCCTCCACGGTGTGAGTCCCACCATTAATGAAGTAGGCGAAGCGATCCCATGCACAAGAAACGGTACAAAGAACAGCGTGGCTACTGGAAATGTGACCACCCCGACGGTGAAGGGGTGCCACTTTGCGGCACTTCTTTTCAGCAAAGTAGACGCCAAGGAGAATGCCCCCGTGGAGAGGAGGACGTACACCACGCCCAAGCCGGCCCATCCCTTGCGCTGCTGGTCGTCCTCCTTTTTCTCAGCGATCGTGGATGGTTGCATCATCATGTCGGATTTATATTTCACGGACGAACGATAATCGAACCACGGGGGGTTGGAGGAAACTGAAAAAAATCTGATAGATTTGTAGTTCCGTGAGTTTAATGAGGCAGTAAATCGCCATATTACTGCTGGTTTTTATTAATACTTAATTTTAGAAATATTAGAGCGTGATGGAATGTCTGGTTATTAGGGCAACTCACGTCACGCCTTATACTTATACTTATACATATATATTTATGAATTTATCATCCTTGCGAGCGATGATTATTTTCGTTTGCGAATTTGTGGAAACTACTTGGATAAAAGGTATCCTGCTTTTTTGCAAATGTACATATGTATATATGAAGTTCAATCATGCTTAAAATGACAGGTTTTCATTTTCATGACAAAGAAATTGTGCGTACCACTTCAACCGAATTTGACGTGACTGCCCCACTGGGTGACAAAATTATGCATGATAGCATCAACCTGGAAATATTAATGATGCTCGCCTACTGTTTTATGAAATAAAAGAGCTAAATAAAATCATAATGAGTTTACTAGAAGAGAAAAGTGGATGATATCATCAGTCATGAGTTAATTGTGTATGTAAGGTGGTTAATTATTTATTTAACTACTGCCAGATCTACGTACATCACTCACGAATGATTTGTGTTGTCACCATTGTAATTATTTATGTACAAACATAATTAAAAAATCTGTACCCATATTTGGACTGGTACACGCTTAAAAATTATTACCCTAAAAGGAGTAAAATATAACTAAATGTATGTATGTATCTTTATTGCATAAATATCCAGTAGCTCTTGCAAGTCACAATCACATTTAGTTACATATTTTAGTCAAATTTTTGATTTTAATAATTGTGATAGTAGTCAGGGGAGTAGAGGGAAAACCAGACTATGGTGGCCAGTCTGGAAAACCTCTACCTGAACTGGAAAGGTTGCCCAGTTCACCATTCGGCCCTGACTACCTGTAAACCCAGGTTCGACCAGTGAATGACAGAGATTATAAGCGATTTGCATATCGGAAAATGGTGACATCCAAATGAGTAAGCGCCGCGCTGGCAGGGACACGACGGGTATTAGGCTGGAGTGGAGCATTTATGGACCACAAACTTACCAAAGACCCATTTCAGGGTTCGGCCTAAGTGACCCCATAAAGGGGCCATGATACACCCCACAAACTAACCCCTCCCATCGCAGCACATGACAAAGTCATGGGAACCCCGTAGACCTAGCCCAGCCGCCCCCACCAGCACTGCGCACACTCACTCTTCCGCCGACCACCCCCACATGTTCACCACCCCAATTTATCAAACAAAGGTCTTACCTGGGGGAGCTCCTCTAAGGCGTAGATCCTCCCGTGCACAGAGTCCGGTGAGATCCATCTTCGCCTGATGGCTCAGCTTGTCGTTGCTGGGACGGGTGTGGCAGGGGGTGTCACCAGGCACGCAGGTGGGGGGTGTGAGTGGACGAGGCTCACATGGCGAAGAGGCCTTAGGACACACTTTGCTAGCCCTGGCACACCCGCGACCCAGATGGAAGAGAATCCAGATGCAGAGCGAGAGGGAGACACGTTGTGCACGGTTGGAAGTCAAAGAGGAACTCCAAAATATAACTAAATATAAACGTAAAAGTGACTTTACCCGATTTGGGGTATACAGCCACAACATAGCAATAAAGTAACGGTAGTTACCCTTTGCAAATAGCCATTTACCCTATTCTCGTCTAGGTGCTAACCCTGGTTGGGGTTACTATTCTAACCCCATATTAAGTAAAATGAATAATGGTCGCGGTATTTATATAGTGTCTCAATAAAATGAATGCGGTATTTGTAAATATCCTCATTAGCATATATTTATTTCAATTAAATCCACTTGAACTCTTTAAATCACAATTACAAAACAACCAAAAATAATATGAAATAATTGCCTTAACTTTGATAACCTATGCACATATTTAAAGTGATCGGAGAGTAATGGTGATAGGAATTTTTGCATTGAAAACATACGTAAATCGTGCCATTTTTCTACTTCTGAATTCCTTCCAAAGTTTCGTATTGGTACAATTGTTGCCAAATCTTCTCGCGTCGCGTCGTCCGTTATTGCATTTTCTATTTTAAAATAAAATGAAATGAGCAAAGTGTCAGTTATGGTACAGTTATGGACAATTGTAGATAAACTTACCCTTGAAAGTATCAAAATAGCAATCCAGCCCACATTGCGATAGTAGTCGAGCAGTTTCTTCCATATCTAGTACAGTTGGTGTGGAATTGTGGAATATTTGAGCTTCAACTAATTAATTATTAGGCAAATTAATTAATATATACTTTAGTTTTAATTCGCACTCGGGCACTCACTCTTGTTACAACGACGATGGAAAATTGGAGCGTGGGCCAAGCTTTTTTTTGGCGGGACAAAGTACCCGGAATGTAGTAAATGCTAGTACAGTCTGACCCTGATTGGTGTAACGTCTAACTTAGTTTAAAGTAATATACCGACTTAACTAAAATTATGGCTAGATGATGCATAACTAAAATTTAAGTTATCCATTTAACGCTAAATCTAGTCAATGTTACTTTATATATAGTTGTCTACCAGTTTACTTCTTGCAAAGTCGGGAACATTTTTAAGCGTGTATTTAAAAAATCTAGAAATAATCGGTTTGCAAACACTAAATTGTAAATTGTCCAGGAGTGAAGTAAATGCAAAATTGCAATTACTTAATTTTTTCCAAATTTTTTGAAATAATTTAAATGATTACATATAAATTTCATGATTTTTATAATTTTTATATACATAAATATTTGACAAGATTGTTTGGTTAACAACTTTTAGTGGAGAGGTATAATTCGTCCATTAATTCTTAGTATGGTTCCCAGTGCGACCTGAATTTTCATGTTAATCTCTACTCGTCGTTTGGGACGCTAAATTTGCGTTGCGAAATTACTGCCAAAATTAGTAGATAGAGTCAGCTATCTAGACCCCTTAAATTTCTTAATGTGTCCCATTCTTTCCTACTTCCGAGTCCCTGAATTGAGCCAACACAATTAGCAGAGTCATCATGATGGACAAAACCTGGAATAAACCACGTAATTAATAAAACCTGTGAATAATTGCAATTAAATTTTCGTCTTTTACCCACCGATAGTATAAAACTTCTATTAAGTGTAAAATAATTCGCTGGTGTTATCAGTAGCTTGCATGTTGTCACTTTCCTCTGAAAATCGCGAATCTGCAAAAAACACAGAACTTCAAAAAACAGCTCTTTCTTTCCTAATTTATTTTGCATACCTTATTTGACACCCCCAACTCCCAATGGTCATCTCCTTCCACCTCGCAAAGTAGATTGACCAGTTTAACTCTCTCAACCTCCAGCTTTTCACCATCATTACCGTAAATGTACAAAATATGCAACGATAACACCGCACTCATCACGTTCATCACCACGGACCCAAGTTCGCCCACTTTAGCGGAAACAATTGAAAAGTAGGTATTACATAAAATCAGAATTATATTGAATCCCACCTCCAAAAATATTCTTGCCCCCATTTCATCATTAAAATGGTTCACAAGCTTGACCAAAATTCCATAAGTTTTAGAAAGTCTAGCAATTTTTGCCACCGTAATTTTCCCACCGTCCACCTCAACTCGAATTGATGACACCCCAGCGGCGTACATTTTAACGAAGAAACTAATCCACACGGTCAAAAATACATGCGAAAAGTAGCAATACATCCACAAAAATCCTGCAATTAGAACAGGACCGCTCTGACCCATATATGAATCAGAAATAACGCTAGATTTCGAGATTTTCAAGATGTCCACTAAAATTAAATTACTGCAAAACATCGAGAACAGAACGACACCGAGGAGAGAAACTGTGCGAAAAAATGAAGTGCGAATTGCTTTTTGCAAATCCGAGACAGATTCAGGGTCCCACAAGTTAGGTGAAATAAGACTTAACTTATCGACCTGATAAGTCCAAAAAGCGACGCTTTTCTTGACCCTGGTCAAACTCCAGATCCGATTTCCCATCGTGTATACAAAACCGCAGAATGTGTTACCCGCAAGGATCACGGTGTCGGATGAAAGCCTTTCCATTCCTTTGAACGCACCGTATCCCTTGCTTCCGTAGATGATGACGAAAATTGAGAATGTCGTAACGAAGAGGAGATGAGAAATGAAGGGGATGCTGCAGTAGTGAAATTGCAACGATTTGTGGGATCTTATTGGTAAAGATTCTACATCGTTTTTAAATTTGGGTGGAGTTACGGAAAGTGAAAGATATCCGTTAAACTGGACACCAAAGATTGGTAACTTTCCCCATGTGAGGAGCAGTTCTTCGGGGTGAAATGGGTTTTCAGGTGAAACGGATGGTTTGTACAGTTTTTGAAGTTTTTGAAGCATTGCGAATTTTATTTGTGGTGGAACAATAATTGTCAATTTAAACTGAAAATAACACCAATTTTATGCCGAATATTTGCTACATTGGGGTTGAAGCTTCTGTGCGTGTAAAAAGTATGATGTGAGTCAGGTACATAAAAACAGTTGCATGTTTTTAGATAATCAACTTCACTCAGCAAATAAATACTAAATATATTACTTTTTCTTGGGCGTAACCGTTTTTGCCCATAATTACTTTGCATATTGAGATGCATGGAAGTATATGTACATAAGTGGATTTCGTACATGTGTGTATGCATATAATAATTTATTGCTAAATCAGGGTATTCCGACCCAGGGTTTTATTGGGTTGGGTTTTTTGGGTTTTAATGGGTTTTAATGGGTTGTTAAAGAATAAAACCCATTGAGTTTTACCATGTTAAATGGGTTTTATTCGGGTTTTAATGGGTTTTAACTGTATTTCAGCTTAAAACTATATTCTAAAAGCTGAAAACAGCTGTCATACGTTAGACGAAGTTGTTTGATGGCAGCTGAGCAGTTTATTTGATTAATACTGTAAGTTTTGAAAACCAGGAATAAATCGGCGAGTGCCATTACAGGTTTCAAGTGACAAAAAAATAATAACTTCGGAACGAGGTATGTTTAACTGAGCATACATAATTTAATTACATTTAATTTACATTTTCCTGTCATAATTAATACTTTTTTCCCGAATACTTCCTCCCATCTCATCCTCAGCGAATAAATTAAACAATATACTATATATTTTTTTAATTTATAAAAATGTTTCAACCCGATCTTCATTATCACCTCTGGAAAAATCGAGTACTTATGGACAGCGAAGTACTTTATTATGAGCAAAAGAAGTGTGTCTGTAAAAAGCACATTCTCGATCATAAATTAGCATTCGTAATACATACGTACTTTCGTTGTTCATAAGTACTCGATTTTTTCCAGAATTGATAATACACGTTAAGATCGCATTGAAATATTAAATTTTAAAAACTTTTAAGCAACTTGGATTTCATTATGATGAGAGGAAGTATTCGAGAAAAAGGTAATATATGTAATTATGGTCTCATAAAGTATTAAACTATGATCAGTTAAATAGGACCATTTCGAAACGGATACAAATTCTAACATGGACAAGGAGGATTTGCATATTAACTGAAATTGGATTGCAATAGTAATGAAAATTGTTGTTCAATGTATTACTTATGTAAAACCTAATAAAACCCAATAAAACCCATAAAACCCATTAAAACCCAAAAAACCCATTAAAACCCATTAAAACCCCTGGGTCGTTACTTTTTGATTAAAACCCTGGGTTTTTCCGAACCCTGTGCTAAATATGGAATATAGAGCTTTCATAAAGTTCATAACACCTTGTCCCCCAATGTTAAACATAATATTAAATGATAAATACTTAGATAGGTAATATTGCAAGAAGAATTTATTTGGATGGCTTAACGCGTTATATAAAATGCCTAAGTAGATATGCATGTGCATATATGTATGTAGTTTGGTGTGGAACATTCCTCGCATCGAAGAATTTATAAAATCTGAAGTTTACTTTACACTACACAATTACTTATTTATTAGATTTTAGCCCCAAATACAGTAATAAAATTCATTACGTAATTATTTAACCCCAACTTTTTCTACTTCCGAGTCTCTGAATTGAGCTAATACGATCAGCAGAGTCATCAAGATGGACAAAATCTAAACAAGACAAATTAATCAATAACACATAATTTAAACTAAATTATTGTCTTCCACCCACCGAAAGAATGAAACTTCTGTCAAGTGTAAAGAAATTTTCCGGTGTTATCCGCAGTTTACATGTTGTCACCTTTCTGCGAAAGTCACGAATCTGAAAAAGAAACTAACTTCACTTTAACACGTACTCAACATGATAAAATTAATTCATAATTTTTCAAACCTTATTCGCCACACCGATCTCGTACTGTCCCTCCCCTTCTTCCACAGCACATAATAACTTGACCAATTTTACTCTCTCGACCTCCAAATTTTCACCATCATTCCCGTACTCGTACAAAACTTGCATCGATAACAGGGTACACATAACCGTGGTAAGCACCGCTCCAATGTCGCCCATCTTACCAGAAACTATGGCGAGGTAGGTCGAGGCCAGAATATAAATTAGGTTGAATCCCACTTCCAAAACTATTCTTCTTCCCATCCGATCATTAAAATGGTCCACGAGCTCAATCAAAATGCTATAATTTTTCGAAAGTCTGGAAATTTTTGCTCCCGAAATACTCCAGCCCTCCAACTCTACCCGAAGCGATGACACCGCCGCGGAATACGTTTTAACAAAGAAATTCAACCAGATGGAGAAAAAAACATGAGAAAAGACACAATATGTTCCCAGTAATCCGACAATTACGATTTGCCTGCTCTTATTCAGGTACGAACTCGTAATAATGCCATGATTTGAGATTTTCAAGGTGTCCACTAAAATCAAATTGCTAAACAACAATGAGAATGTGACGGTGCAGAGGAGGAAGACTGTGCGAAAAAAGGAAGTGCGAATTTTTTTCTGTAAATCTAAGACGGTATTTGGATCCCATAAATTAGGCGTGATAAGGGCAATCTTGTCGACTTGATAAGTCCAAAATGCGAGGTATTTCTTGCTACAGAGCAAACTCCAGATTCGATTTCCGATCGTATAACTGAAACCGCAGATCATATTACCCGCCATAATTACGAAGTCGGGGGAGACCTTTCTTAAATGCGTAAACGCACCGTAATTCTCATGGCCCCAGAGGATCGTGACGACTGAGAATGTCGTTACGAAGAGGAGATGGAACAGGAATGGTATGCTGAAGAAATTAAATTGCAAGGTTTTTTTGCAATCTTTGGGTGCAGATTTTATGTCCATTTTAAATTTGCGGGAGCTCACTGAGAATGAAAGATATCCGTTGAACTGGACGCCTAATAGGGGCCACTTTGCCCATTTGAGGAGCAGTTCTTCTGGGTCAAGTGATCTTTCGGGTGAAATTGATGGTTTGTACAGTTTTTGAAGTTTTTGAAGCATTGTGAATTTTATTTGCGGCGGAATAATTGTCAAATTTAAAATATAAAATAACACTAATTTTATGTTGACTACATTGCTGTTGAAGCTTCGGGGTGTATAAAACGTATGATGTGAGTCAGATACAGTTGCATGTTTTTGGATAATTAACTTCACTCAGCAAATAAATTACTTTTTTAGGCGTATCCGTTTTTGCCCATAATCGTACTTTGCGATTGAGATGCATGGAAGTAATATGCATTTATAGATAAGTGGATGTCGTACATATACCGTAAATACTCTATTTATAGCCGGGGCTAAAATCCAAAATTGAGGGTAACGGACCCGGCTAAATTTTGTTCCGCCCAAAATGTTAGATGTTACAAGATTATTCTGTCTCAATTTAAGTTGTCTTATTTAGCAAGATTGTCATCAGTAACACATTTACTTTAAATCTACATCTTTAAACGAGGTTTTTTTAATTTTCTGTCATAATTATATCCATTATTAACTTGAAATTAATGGGCAAAAATAAGTAGTTTAACTTATTCATTGATTAGCATAATTGAATAGCAACATTTTTCTTGAATGGGCTAAAAAGGGGACACAGCGGACAAGACAGGCTATAATTAGAGACCCGGCTAAAATTTTGAAATCTTGGTCCCTAGACCCGGCTATATTTATAACTAGAATAGGGCTATAACTAGAGGTTTTACGGTATGTTCCCCCCAATGTTAAATATATTATTATTTATATGATGAATAAGTAAGATAAGCAGAAAGGCAATAAGGATATAATATGGATGGCTTAACTTGCTACATGTTTAAATGCCTATGTTCATACATACTAAGTATGTGTATGTAATTTGGGGTAAAACATTTACTCAAATCAAAGAATTTACATTATCTGAAGTTTACCTTATACTGCACATTTACTTAAATACATAAGTAAATGTAATAATATTATGTTATATTTTAGCCCCATACAATTAAATTCACTACTTAATTAACCCCAACTTTCTCTACTTCCGAGTCTCTGAATTGAGACAACACTATGAGCAGCGTCATCAAGATCGATAAAACCTGAAAGGAACGCATTAGTCAATAAAGCACCTAATCAAATTAATCCTAAGTTAATATGTAGTCTTGTCGTCCACCCACCGACAGAATGAAACTCCTATTTAGAGAAAAGAAATTGCCTGGCGTTATCTGCAGCTTGCATGTTGTCACTTTTCTACGAAAATCTCGAATCTATGTACGTACATATATGCAAATAAACAAATACACAAATTTAAACACCATAATTTTTTATGAGTCACTTCACGCAGTCATTGGTAACTTTGTAAAGTACGTAAGTTTTATAAAACAATTTCACAAACTTTCACAAAATAAGACGCCCTTGATCTGAGTAAATTTTTTAAAAATTCTAAGCTAATTTTTATTAGAAATGTTTGTAAAATCTTATGAAAGTTTGTAAGTTTGCAGACCTTACAGATTTTACTATGTTACCATTTACATACGTAAACTGACTCAATGTGTATCGTAATACATATAGAATTTTCAAACCTTATTTGCCCCTCCCATCTCCCAAGGCACCTCCCATTCCTCTATTTCACACAACAAATTCGCCAGTTTTGCCCTCGCCACCTCCAAATTTTCACCATCGTTGCCATAAACGTATAATACATGCACTGATAACAGGGCCCCGATCAAGTTCATCAGGATGGACCCAATTTCACCCAATTTAGCCGAAACTATTACAAAGTATGTGCTGCATAACATGACAATTAGATTGAATCCCACCTCCAAAAATATCCTTCCCCCCATCTCCTCGTTAAAATGGTCCACCGATTTAATTAACACGCCATACGTTTTCGAAAGTCTTGTAATCCGTGCCCCCGAAATTTTCACGCCCTCCAACTCAATTCGAATCGAAGAGACCGCAGCAGCGTACAATTTCACAAAGAAATTTAACCAAATGGAGAAAAAAACAAAGGAAAAGTAACTATACACCCAGAGCAATCTGGTAATTAAGACGGGGCCATTCTTCGTGACTATAGAGTCCGAAATGATGCTGGGTTTAGAGATTTGCAGGATATCCACCAAGATTACATTGTTGAAGAAAAGCATGATCAGGACGGTGCAAAGGAGGTAAACTGTACGAGTAAATGAGGTACGAATTTTTTTCTGTAAATCCGAGACGGTCTCAGGGTCCCACAAATTAGGCGTGATAAGGGCAACCTTATCGACCTGATAAGTCCAAAAGGCGAGGTTTTGCTTAACACTGACAAAACCCCAGATCCGACCTCCTATCGTGTAGACGAAGCCGCAGATAATGTATCCCGTAAGGATGGTGGCGTCGGATGAGAGCTTTTGTAACCGATTAAATGAGCCGAAACCCTCGTTGCCCCACCAAATGAGAAGAATTGAGAAGATGATTAAGAACAGGAGATGAAAGATGAATGGAATGCTGAAGAAGTTAAATTGCAAAGATTTTTTGCCTTTTTTTTCTTGAGATTCAATATCGCTTTGCAATTTGCGGGGGGTTATGGACAGCACGAAATATCCGTTAAACTGGACGCCAAAGATGGGCCATTTTGCCCATTTGAGTAGAAGTTCTTCGGGGTCAAAACTAAATCTTTCTGATGGAAGGGCTAGTTTCATTGTGAAATTTTTTTATGACGGCGAGATTATAAAATTTGAACGAGAAATGAGAATAATTTTGTCATTTATTCAAACACTTTATTGTTGAGTTGTGCCGTAAAGTTAGGAGATAATTATTTTTTAGTAAATTTTGTTAACTAGAGAAACGAATTAGTCTTGGGCGTTTTCTAGTTTTGCTAATAAATGAACTTAATTATATTGTTTGCTCACAATTAAGGAAAGCTCATCAATTACGGAACGCATTGTTTCGTAATATCCAATTAGATTTATAAATGTCAAATTAATTAATGGTCATGATTTTCGAACACCAATGTCATGGTGTGACGTACATAGTTCAGAATGATTAATTAGTACCAACTGTTTCAAAAGTATTTATTAAGACGGTCGATTCATTCATGCCTTAATCATGATGTGACAATCATTGATGTCAAAATCTTTGCAGATGTGAAACTAATAAATAATTATTACTTAGTAAATATGTAAAAAGTTTTTAAAAAACCATCGTAGGAACATGACTAACGTGGACGCCAAGAATTATTTGTACACAATTTTTCATACTGTATATTCCATATGCATTTTTACACATGATCCCGGATAGATCTCAACCTGAAACTGTGATTCATAAGAAGATTGCATAACACTATAATCTACCAATTTAACCACTAATTTAAATAATCTAATTTAACTAACCTTCTCTATTTAGATCGGTTCAAGAATTTTATTATATATTTGGGCCTACATAGCTAATTTGACCCAATTCCTTAATTTATCCCAACCTTCCCTACTTCGGAGTCTCTGAATTGAGCCAATACGATCAGCAGAGTCATCAAGATGGACAAAATCTAGAAGAAACAAATTATTCAATAACGTCATTAATATAAATAAATTATTGCAATCCACTCACCGAAAGAATGAAACTTCTGTCAAGTGTAAAGAAGTTTTCCGGTGTTATCCGCAGTGTGCATGTTGTCACCTTCCTACGAAACTTAAGAATCTGAAAAAAGCTTAAATTTAACGCTAGGCAAGTATTTTAAATTTAATTTATAATGTTTCACACCTTATTCGCTACGCCGATCTCGTACTCCCGCTCTTCCACTTCGCATAATAACTTCATCAATTTGACTCTGGCAACCTCCAAATCTTCACCATCATTTCCATACGCATATAAAACATGCATCGATAACAGGGTACACATAATCGTGGTTAACACCGCCCCAAGGTCACCCATTTTTCCAGCGACAATGGCGAAGTATGTCGCGACTAGAATGTAAATTAGGTTGAATCCCACTTCCAAAACTATTCTTCTCCCCATCCGATCATTAAAGTGGTCCACGAGCTGAATCAAAATCCCATAAGTTTTCGAAAGTCTGGAAATTTTAGCTCCCGAAATATTCCCAGTCTCCAACTCAACCCGGATCGATCACACCGCGGCGGAATACATTTTAACAAAGAAATTTAACCAGATAGAGAAAAAACCGTGAGAAAAGATGCAATATGTTCCCAGTAATCCGATAATCACGACTGGCTTGCTCTGATTCAGATATGAACTCGTCATAATGCCATAATTTGAGATTTGCAAGATATCGACAAAGATAAAATTGCTGACAAATAGCGAGAACACGATTACCGGGAGGAAGAAGGCTGTGCGAAAAAAGGAAGTGCGAATTTTGTTCTGCAAATCTAAAACGATATTTGGATCCCATAAATTAGGTGTGAGAAGGGCAATCTTGTTGACTTGATAAGTCCAAAATGCGAGATGTTTCCTGCTACAGAGCAAACTCCAGATTCGATTTCCGATCGTATAACTAAAACCGCAGATCATATTACTCGCCATAATTACGGCGTCGGATGAGACCTTTCGTAAATGAACGTATGCACCGAAATTCTCATTGCCCCACAGGATAGCGAGCACTGGGCATATCGTTATGAACAGGAGATGAAATATGAATGGGATGCTTAAGAAGTTAAATTGCAGGGATTTCTTGCATTCCTTAGTTCGAGATTTAATATGGTTTTCAAATTTGCGTGGGGTCACTGAGAGTGAAAGATATCCGTTGAACTGGACGCCTAATAGGGGCCACTTTGCCCATTTGAGGAGTAGTTCTTCGCAGTCAAGTGATCTTTCGGGTGAAATTGGCGACTTCATTTTGAAATTTTTTGTAACATAATATTTTTAAGTTTGGGACGAAACTAATATCGATTTTATAGATATGTACGAGGTTATTAGATATTGAGGCAAATCACGGAGTCATTGATAACTTGTAAAATCCGTAAGTTTTGTACATAATTCTTACAAATTAAAAAGGCTTCCCTTGGTCTACATAAGCTTTAAAAAATTATAAGATAATTTTCTTTAGAAATATTTAAACATTTTGTCCAAGTTTACAGAATTTATGGATCTTAAAACGTTACGAAGCCCTTCGTGAATTGCCTAAAAGTTGCAAGTTATAGACTGAATGATAACGAATATAAAATGTGACTTATTTCGTGCGAAACCCGGGTATTTGCAAATTGGCAGATAAGCAATTTTTTCTAACAAATTAGCTAAATCAGCCAATCCATTATTATTGGGCGTTCTCTGTTGTGTCGCCTAATTTTGTTTGCAACTCTTTCATAAGTTTTTCCCCACTGCCAAGCTCAGGTACTCTTCTCCCTCCCTGGGTAATGGCCCATTCGTGGGGTCCAGTGGTTGTAATAAAGGTTTTTTTTTTTTTTTTTTTTTAAGTACCTAGTACAAAGACGATCAACTTATTAATCCTTTCATGGCTTAGCCATGATGTCGCACACACACCAATCCTTTCAAGAGATATATAAAAATTATAAATAATTGTTATAACATACACAATTTTTTTACAAAAATAGTAACAATTTATTCACATGCACGCGAAAAATGCAACATATTTCATATCATGTTTAAGCCAATGAGTTTATTGTACTATAATAAACATAAAAACCAAAATACCTATGCATTTAGGCGTCTGAGAAATGTATTTTAAATTTCGAAACTAATGGCTGTGTTAGTAATTAGGCCGAAATAATCAAATTTATCAATTCACCCCAACTTTATCTAGTTCCGAGTCTCTGAATTGAGCCAATACGATTAGCAGAGTCATCAAGATGGACAAAATCTGAAGGAACGAATTAATCATTAACATAATCTAATTTAAATCATGGTCATCTATCTACATATGTACCCACCGAAAGAATAAAGCTCCTGTTTAGGGTGAAGAAATTTTCCGGGGTTATCCGCAGTTTGCATGTTGTCACTTTTCTACGAAAATCACGAATCTGAAAAAGAAACACACGTTGACTTAACTTTAACATGTACATACATACTTAACATTATAAATTTAATTTACAAATTTTTCACACCTTATTCGCCACGCCCATCTCGTACTGTCCCTCCCCCTCTTCCACTGCACATAATAACTTGACCAATTTGACCCTAGCAACCTCCAAATTTTCACCATCTTTCCCGTACTCGTACAAAACATGCAGTGATAACAGGGTACACAAAATATTGGTTAACACCGTCCCAAGGTCGCCCATCTTACCAGAAACTATGGCGAAGTAGGTCGAGGCCAGAATATAAATTATGTTGAATCCCACATCTAAAAATATTCTTCTCCCCATCCGATCATTAAAATGGTCCACGAGCTCGATCAAAATACCATACGTTTTCGAAAGTCTAGAAATTTTTGCTCCAAAAATATTCCCGCTCTCTAAGTCAACACTAGAGTTCTCAATGGTCCGGATTGGTCCGGATCAGCCCTGATCCGAAACCGGACCGTGGCCCGAAATCACCAATCCGAAACCGGACCGAAAAATTTCCGCTCGGCCCAGAACCGGACCGGTCAATCCGGGCGGACCGAAAAATATATCATTATAGTATAAAGACCCATAGTACAGTATAATAATTACCACATATAGTATATGTATAAATAGTGCATTGAAATTTATACACGTATTATGCATAAATGTCTTATGTAACTATGCATAAGACATATATGGTACATGTATAGACAACCAGAATGCCAAATGTTTCAGATTTAAATAGATACATGTATCGAATGAGGTCTCGTAAGTTCCATCGGTCAGTGTGTTTATACACATAATCTCAGGACCAATTTACAATTTCCTTTTTTTAATTTAAAAAATACACTAGCAAGAGTAGGAATTTAAAAAATCCTCCCAAAATCAAGGAGCGTAAAAACTTTAAAACCTAAAAAACGTAATTTTTATGGATCATGTGGAGAACTTTTGAAATCTATGTAACATAGAATTTGAATACACTGAAAATTCATGAGTTTGACTGAAAAAATTCAAAAATTTTAGGTCAAAGTATTAAAATTTTCTTGCGCGCCAAAATATTCGGGCGGACCGAAAACCGGCGGTCCGGTCCGGTCCTTGGAAAGCTGATCCGAAACCGGACCGAGGACCGGACCGAAACTTTCGGTCCGGATTGGCGGATGGCCCAATCCGGGACCGAACCGTCGGATTTCGGTCCGGTCTGGGCCAACCCGAAGCCCATTGAGAACCCTAGTCAACACGAATCGATGACACCGCGGCGGAGTACGTTTTAACAAAAAAATTTAACCAGATGGAGAAAAAAACATGGGAAAAGATGCAATACGTTCCCAGTAATCCGACAATTACGATTTCCCTGCTCTGATTCAGATAGGATCGCGTTATAATTCCATGCTTTGAGATTTTCAAGGTGTCCACTAAAATTAAATTGCTAAAAAACAATGAGAATGTGACGACACAGAGGAGGAAGATACCAATCTTGTTGACTTGATAAGTCCAAAAGGCGAGGTGTTTCTTGCTATAGATCAAACTCCAGATTCGATTTCCGACTGTATAACTAAAACCGCAGATTATATTACCCAACATAATTACGGAGTCGGAGGAAACCCTTCGTAAATGTGTAAATGCACCGTAATTCTCATTACCCCAGAGAATCATGAGAACCGTGAATGTCATCACGAAGAGGAGATGGAATAGGAATGGTATGCTGAACAAGTTAAATTGCAGGGATTTTTTGCATTCTTTGGGGTCAGATTTTTTGTCGCTTTTAAATTTGCGTGAGGTCACGGAGTGTGAAAGATATCCGTTGAACTGGACGCCTAATAGGGGCCACTTTGCCCATTTGAGGAGTAGTTCTTCGGGGTCAGGTGATCTTTCGGGTGAAATGGCTGACTTCATCTTAAATATTTTTGTGACGGAAATTTTAAAGAATGAACTGAAACTAATGGCAATTTGTTGAGTAAGTTAACCAAATGGTTTACAATATAGTGTCAAACTTGTTAATTGAATGATAATAGATGACTGGCATCATGTGAGACTCGGTACTTGAAAGTTGACAGGATAATCAGTTTGTTACCAAATTAGTTAAGTCAATTAATCAATTACTATTGGGCGTGGTCCGTTTATTTTTGTCCCCTAACTGTATTTGCCTTTAATGGAACAATGTTGAATTATTGTAGAAGATGTTTCAAGTGCATGGAGTAAAAAACAAATATTGATTCCTATTAATTTCGTATGTATATATGCAAATTTTAGCATTGTTGTGCATACAAATTTTATATGATCTGTATATTTTTATGCTAAATAGTTTGGTGTTTAGTTTAGTGTGGGTGTTTTGGTATTTTAAATGATTACTTATTTTGTGCCTACTTGTCGTTTATTTCAAGAATTTAGAAATATTCAAAGTTTTATCAAATTTCTCACCTTGCAATCGTTTTGGTGGAAAAAGTTTTAATTATTTAAATTTATCAAGTCGCTTGTCTAAATCTGCAGGTTAGTCCAAATCACATTGTGACGTGAATCTGATAGCACTGGACTTATTTGCCCATCCAAATTGATTTAAGTTGTTGTATCGTCCAAAAAAGGCTTTGTGTTCTGCTTCCTCGAACTCTGGATCGTCATTGCAGTCTTCGTGGGTGTAAAGGGTGAGACATTTTCCTAAGGTGTCGATGGAAACCATTTGCTGTACAAGGTGACGATCCAGAACGATACATCCGCTTGTGTCATCGGTGGATGCATGAATATGTAGACCAAATCCTACAAAAAAATTCTTAAAATTAAAAAAGTACAATCATGAGGTGCTTAAAATTCTGAATTTTCTAAACAAAGGAAAGAAACAAGAATAGGATGATTTATTAGGTTTGTAGTAGTAAAATTGGAAATGAGCCTGTATGTGTTAACCCTAAGGCATAATTATTTAAATATTAGTCAAACATGCGGAAGCAATTCCCTAGAAATTAAAAAAAATACGATTGAAAATGCGTGAGTTGCTTGAAAAGCAGTATGGTTCGAAGAAAGTTAACTACAAAAAACAATAAAAACATGGCGAAACACACGATGGTAAATAATCCAGACGGTATATACATACGTAATATTTTTTTAAGTATGGCGAAAATTATTTACTTATCGACACCGCTAATGTCAATTTTTCCAATATATGTATGTATGTACCTGTAAAATTGACGGCAGTGTGACCAATGTACTCAATCGTACTGAAACGGCTAGAACTCTTCACAGTTGAAAACTGAATGATTGTTACAAACAGTGGTACGAAAACAAACCCTTGGGGAAAGTGCATCCTGTCACTTTTCAGTTATGGAATACACACAAGTAGGAAAAATCTGTAGTGCACCAGAAGCTGACTAAATTTTATAACATAGTTTGTCGTAAAGGTTGATTTACAGGTTGAATTGAAGTGTAAAACACAATAGATTTAATCAGTGTATACATATGTAGTAAACTGTGCGAATGCAAAATATGTAAAAATGTCCAATAAAATTTGTAATCTGAAGATGACATTCCGGATCAATACTCGATATGCAGTTGTATACGGATTCTACGTGAGTCGTGTATGCATAAAGTTGTATCGGCAGAAGTTTAATTAATTGATCAGAATAATATGCATTTATGATTATCGATCGTGGTTATCAATGCTTGCGTCATCTGGACAAGTTTCAGATAGCAAAGCTCCATCGAGGCGCAAATCACAGTAGCCAAACTTTGGTGACATGAAGTTATGTGGTGATGAATGATAACGAAGCTATATAAATAATTACCAAATTTCGGGAGGGAAATTGGACAGAAAAAACTACAACGAATGCAAGAACGTATTGTATTAATTGCAGCAGTGAATCTCCAATTTCTTTACTTACGACACACCATTAAATAAGGAATTATTAGTTCGACAGATGCTACATAGATAATAAATAAATACATATATGCAGAAGTTTCGTTGATTTAAGGAATTACATAAAAAGTGTCATTTATTTTGCTTAAAAATTTATTTATTACTGCTGGTTAACTTTTTCCGTTAATTGCACCAAGTTCATGATTTCCAGCATATTTCTGATTTTTAGAATTATCTCCATCCTGTAATTTAAAATTGGTAAATCTCGTTACACATTTCAGAGTACATACGTATGCACGAAACATATATTTATTTATGGAATTGCTTACGATGTGCACTCCCAAATCCCAGCATATTTTTTGCCGTATGTGCAACGGAACAAATTTGTTGACAAATTGATCGCAAGGCGGACTGATAAGCTGTGGATTCAGGTCTCGAGGGTCCTGTTTGCCAGTGAGGAAACTGACCACTGTTCCAACCATCATGTTTAAACAGCATCCAATCAATGCGTACCAATAGTAGGATATTTTGTAAAATTCGGATATTTCATCGCTATCGATGTGAAAAAATGAAAATTAAGTAACAATGAAATCTTGAGTAATTCAGATTTTCATAATTAATTAATTAACCTTTGGCCAGCTTGATTGAGAAAATTAGATCGAGGCGCAGTAAAATTGGAACATCCTTCGACACTGTTAATTAATTGAAGAAAATTTAGTAAATATTTGATTTTGTGTATTCAAAGAAATTTTGATTTTTAAATGTACTTCTATTTGTGTAATGGGGTGCAAAACTCAAGCATATCTTGTTCACAAATTTTACATACATATTTATATAGCTATATCACTTGAAGAGGTAGTCAAAATTTATTAGACACAACTGGGCTATAGTTCATTAATTTCCCTTAGCAAATGCACGTGCTTTTATTTCCAAAAAATTATCATGTATTTTGCAAACTAGGAATGAAATGTGAATGACCATGAAAATGTGAGTAAATTGCCATACACAATATTTAAAAGTTATTTTTGTTCATGCGAAAATCTTCTCAACGTGATTACCTAAGTTCTCGTTTTTAAGAAAATTTCACGTAAGCAAAATTCGGTTAATAAATTTTAAAAAATTCAGGCTGCAAGAGATAGTAAGAGGATATTTCATAAATTTTACTATTTTCCCCTTTTATGGTAATTCACAACTTTTCATTAATGAATAATCTTACCTTAACGTTAATTTCGACGCTGGACGAATCCCACTTTTCGCCATCGACGTCCCAATCCCCAACCACAACATGAATACGAGAGACGTAAGAGTGCCCCAAAATGCACCCTTGGAATTACACCAGGGAACAAACATTCCTAAACTGAACACCCCTAACAGCGTGCCTCCCACCATTCCAAAAATGCTGAACGAAACGTCGAAAATCCCGCCTAATCTTTCCGCAATAAAAACTAGGCCAAAAGAAAGTAGTCCGTACATTACGGATGAAAACTTGGAAATATTCGTCGCTCTGTGGTCACTTATGTCGGGGTAAAAGTATTTCACGTAATCTTCAAGAGTTATGGAGGCCAAGCTGTTGAGTCCGCTGGACACAGTGCTGCGGAAAAAAATAGAAAGCGAGATTTTCAAAGTCGTGGTCCTTACGGACAGAATATTTAGCATAATTTTCGATCCAAAAAATTGTTTTTGGCATATAAGGGTAGTCAATGTCAGCTATTACATCAATTAGCAAAATTTTAAATGATTGAGTATTTACTTAAATACATAATTATTGATTAGAATGCCAGAATGCCATCAAGGCTAGTTATGATTATAATTGGTCCTGATTGCACGGATTTGTATGATGGGAATGTCAAGGTTAGCGACTATAATTTCTAATCCCTACCCTTGAAATTCCCACAAAAATTAGGCTTTTAAGCTTTCGAATTATTTGTTAGCTTGCCTCAACGCTCCTGAAAATATGCCTGCCACGAATAATCCTGGAAAACCTTTAAAATCGCCTAACGAATCCATCACGAATATCGGGAGTATCTGATCCGTTGTCCTGATTCGCTGAAGAAAATATTAATCGTTTTTTTAATTTTGTGTGATTATTAACAGAATTAAATTGCAGAACCTTTGACATGAGTGGGTCACATTTCGAGTACTTGGCATAAAGTACCAACCCCGTCAAAACATTGAGAATTAATAGGACAAAACGACCAAGACCATTTAGCCAGATGGCCCTTTATACATGCATTTATGCAAATATACATAATTTGGAAATTATTAAATATATTTATAATTTATGCCAAAATTCTCGAGTTTCTTACATTTTCGCTTGTCGTATAGTTGGGAGGGTCAAATATCGTTGAACCTAAAATTTAACATAGATTTACAAAATTGTAGAAGCGTAAATAATAAAATTTTAGATAATGCTTCGATTTTGAAAATTAAAATTATCTACTTGTGCTTGATTGACTCCATAAATTGCCAGCCACATGAAAAACGCCCCGATCCATAAGGTCCACGTGGTTTGCCGAGTCCTCGGATCGGGATCAAAGCTATAAAATATGTCAACATTGGAATTAAATAAGTTCATCATGTTTTCTAAATAGTAATATAAAATAAAAATACTCGAAATATTTGACGTGTCCCCCGTCGACAGCGATATTCCAAATGTTCCCAAATCCACCCAAGTCTATCCCACCTTTCACCAGGACGACAATCATGGCACCAAACCTGAGGAATATTTTCATTAATTTACCAACTACAAATTTGTTAAATTACACAGAACGCCGAACAATCCTGGTTCGTTTATGCCAGAGGAAATTGAAATCAGTGGTATTAAAAAGGTTAAAATTCTGACGTAATTTTACTTACATTACAATAATTTGCACCACGTCAGTCCACATGACAGATTTTATTCCTCCCTGTTACAGATCATACGTATAATTCTTAAGTAAAAAATCTAATTCCATGCAACCTTTTTGGATGGATTTGTATTAATTTGAAATTAAATAAAAGTTACCAATGCCGTATAGAAGATGACAATGGCAAACAACGCTGTCACACAGCCGTAAAGATGCAGCCCGGTAACTGGGTTTTAGTTGAAGGAAAATTTTTAAAAGTCTTTAAACTGTATAAAATTAAAATTTCCAAACACCTTACCTTGACTAAGGGCAAGTGCTGGGGCGTAGATAACGACAGACTGGTACAGCACCTACATAAAATTTAATAACATTAGTATTGAGTTTAAATGTACGTATTTTTTATTAATTGTTAATTCTACCATTTGCACTGTGAAGACGAACGAAGCCAGAATTCTGACAGGTTTCGAAAATCGCAACTCCAAATACTATAAAATGTGCAAAGGGTGCCCAATTTTTTCAAATTTTCAGGGGCCAGACGTATAATAAATGAATTGATTAACGGTATGTACCTCATATGTCGAGGTCAATTGGAGGTTATAAAACACAGGTAAATACAGATACGCTGAGACCCCCATAACGGCAAAGTGTGCTGGTGCAATCATGATGTATATAGTGCCTAAATATTTATCATGCCATATGCAAATTTCAGAATTTGGTGAATACCTAATTATGTATAGGGAAGAAGTTAACCGTGTTTACCATTTAAATAAATTTCTGCAGGAACGGAGAGCAACGCAATGGCAGAGAAGAAAGCTGAAAGCAATACATTTTCTCAATGTCCACGAGTCGCCAGTAATTAAATTCATTATTACGATAATTTTGTACAAATTATTATTATCATTGCGTGGAAAAATCAGCAGCCTTAGATTTAGTGAACCAATGTTTTCCCCATTATTTGCAGTTGGGGTATTCACGTCAACTTTGTAAAAGCCGTATTTACACATACATTTACATATGTATGTATCTTCGCAATTTTACGATGTTTGCGAAGAGTTAGATAGGACATGACAACCAATCAGAATCCTTTATTTTTACGAAATATGCGACACAAAAATGTATTATCGTTGTAATATATTTTTCGCAAACTCGTCGCCAATTAAGTGAATTTTCATCTCTCCTCTCATTTTCAGCGACGCAATTTTGGAAACAAAGCAAAGCTGCGAAGATTTTTTGTGAAGCAACATTTTTGAATGACGTGAATACCCACATTGTCAGTGACAATTTGTCACATAATTTAATGATCTCTTAAATACTTACTCGCCAAGAGGGACAAGGTAACCGGAACAATTCCCATGTTTCTACCTCCCATTAAGAAATCCTTCGTTGTCTGCCGATTGCCGAAACAGCCGTAAAATATCCCAATTCCGGCAGATACGGCGAGCATTAAGGTAAACACCAGGTAGTCCACGGTACCGAAATGTTTAGCAGAATCATCTCCAATGATGGCTGACTCGCCCATTTCAGAATTCTACTATTTTTTCACAGATTAAAAAAATAATTTACTTTGACATTTTGACTAATTTTGGGTTTACATACTCAGCTTGTAAATACTTTTGTGGATGACGTATTTTTGAAAAGATACTTGACCAGCTTGATGTAGACTGAGAGTTTGGTTGTGAGGATGACAAACTGAAAATGAGACGAGAAGATGCAGTGCATAGTTAATTTATGCATAGTTTGTTACACTTGGTTTAAGGCAATGATAGTTAATTTATTAAATTGACCACTGGACAAACATATGTATGTACGCATGCAAGTACATATGTTTTGGATGAGACGTTGTATGCAAATAGATATGCCGTGTGTATAAAATTGAAGTATACCTACGGTCAAAGTTCAAAATTAAATATTCAGATTTTTCTGCCCAGCGACCCGTTCCGAGTAGGTATTTATAAATGCTTTCTGCTTAAAACCCGATAAAACCCTTTAAACTATCATCCCATTGTGTGCATGAATATTATCAATATTTAGAAAACTATTAAATGTATGTAAAATTTGATATGAATTTTATTATTTATTCAAAATTTATATTCAATCCGACATAATTAGGTTATCCTCATTCATGATGAGAAGATGAGGACGCAAATGGAGATCAGCGTGTGCTACATAACATAACATCAAATAAAATCGCATAGGACTATTCCAACGAAAAAGTCGTAATAATTTTCCACGGATATGGAACATTTTCTCCGAAAAATTTATTGTCATTTATGCAATAGTTTCTTTCTAGGTTATAAACTACAAAATATATTTGTCCCGTCTAACACTTAATGAATATAATTTTCATCTGCAGACATGTACATAAAAATGTAGGTCTTAGAGATAGCGGTATCTTATTTTACTCTCTGAAATATTAATATGTACAACATCCAGAGAGCGACTAAATTAATGTGAAATTAAATGAATCGACGTCATGGAGAAATTATGATGCCGAACAACCCTGACCTACGACGATGAATTAAAATCAATGAAATTTGATTCATAAAAATTTGTACTGCATGACGTGCAAGATGATTTATTTGGCTTAACTTGTATCATAATTAGCCCTTTGTCGCAGTTGTACTTAATGACATATTTAGTACTTGACAATGTCAATTACCATTAATTTGTTTAATTCAGTTGATGTCAATTATTAGGATGACATGGAAAAAATGTAAAAAGCATATTATTTTACAAAAATTTAAGAAGCGTTTATTTTTATCCTGGTGCATACTACAGATATGTATGTAGTTCACAAATGTGAACTACATACTTTATCTGTGGTGCATACATACTATACTACATGCATATGCATTATGTACTGTGCTCTTACTAAGGATTGTCACCTCATTTTGCATAAATCTCATTATGCCATTTTCAGCTATACGGGCTTTCCATGTTGAATAAACTATGTGTCCCTCTCGAAACTGTCAAAATATGCAAATGAGGTGACACGCACAAATAATTCTACTATGCAGATATGCATATTTAGATATGTACGTAAATAAGTATTACTGAAAATATGTGTGTTTAGATAAAACTTTTTTATAACTTCAGCTTTGGAAAATGTACATATGTATGTATGTTATTTGATATGCAAATTAATGTACGTTATGTGTATTAGGCACGCACCCGGAGTTAAATGCAACAGTTGGGACCATCGGAACCCAATTGGATAAAATAAATTTAACTCAGAAATAAGGAACATTAATTAATTTATTAGCCATGAGTTATTGAAGAAATTTTACATATGTCAATAAGTACATAGATAACAAGTCAGACATAAGTAAAATCAAAGCACTAATTGTTCAAATTTAAGCCTAGTCAGATACATATTTCGCTTGCATTTTATCAAGTATGTATTATGCAATCTATTTATGAAGGATTAATGAATACATACTTAAATATGTAAATATGTAGTAAAATTCTTGCTAAAAATCTAGTTGATACTATTAAAGACATACTTAAATATGTAAATATGTATTTTCTCTTATCTAAACCTCAATAATCACACGAAATGTCGATCATGACACGAATGCAGCTCTTTCTGATATCGTCGCCCCCCTCCGTCTCTTCTGATGTTGGACACGTCGTTGGCACACCCACAATGCCACACCCACGAATTTTGTTGTCAGAAACGGTGACCGGTTTAGGGCTCCACTGATAAACGACGTCATCCTCCAACTCTTTAGGGCTGAAGAGTACGTTCGTGTTGAATTTATTGTTACCAAGTTTTCTCAGAGGTGCATCAATCCCGGCCAAGACTTGGCGAAACACCTGCATAGAAATTTAAACACACTTTTTTTAGGAAACTTATTAATTCAGATTTTATAAATTTCTTTACTTACGTCCCCATTTGAACCGATCAGGATTTGTTGGTCTCCAATATTGTAAAAGCCGGTAAGCATTGAAGGGACCCAAATGGAGAGGGGTGGGTAAATGACATCCTTACGGATCGAGGACTTGTTGCAACCTGGAGAAAAAAAATTCAAAATTTTAGTTTTTTGAATTTTTGAAACAAAAAATCTGGGATTGGAAATAATTAACTAAAATTTATCATATATGTACCTAAACTCGACGCTTCATGAAAAGCGAGTCTCACATCGTTCCATGACTGCCAGATGTCAAAATTGATCGACACCTTGGGTTCCGGAGCGTCGGAAATGGCGACAAGTTTTGCATTCGCCGTTAACGTGACGACTGTCGGCGAGGTGGTAAGTTTCGTGGGTGAATTGTCGTAAGCTTTATCGAATTCCTTCACGTTAGTTCGATTCGTGCAGTTCGAATGTAATTGTAAAGTTGGGCAGTTATCTTGGGCGAGGGATGTTGTGATAAGGGAGAGGGATGTTGCGAAAAGCGAAAGGAGCAGGAGGTATCGGGACATGATGGAATTTGTCCTAGTTTTTAAAACAAGTTTGTAGAGTTTGCTGGATAATTAGTCAGACACGGACTGTTTGGTGGATGAGGTAGAACTGGAGCTAAAATGGGTTTTAGGAGCATATTTAATACTTTTAATTCATTAGTATTTGTGCGTATTTAAATAAGTAACTTTGGAAAGTTGACGATGGTGAAAAAAGTAGCTTTGTTAAGCTGTTCTGAACCCTAGAGAGGTCGGCAAAAATGTATGTAAATACTTATACAGGTACATATGTATGAGATGTACCCTTCTGTATGTAGGAACGGCTTTAATCTGTCCACCTTTTTCTCGGTATGTTGTCAAGGGATAATAAGCATCTATGTATGTATAATAGAAAATATATGACGAAAGGTGTGTATTTACTTATGTATTTTGTAAAATGCAGCGTTAAAGTATTAGCAAGGCTAAAGCTTATGTAAATACATACCTCTGAATACATCGAGTATGTAGTTAAAAAACATGAAGTTCTTCCTACAACTTGGTCCTTAAAGTATTTTAAGGATTCTTGGAAAGTAACTTTTCTCCACAATATATGTACACCCTTAGAAAACTGGTATTAAATCATTACCGAGCGGAGTACGTATGTGACTCTACCGACACTGGTATTAAAGAGAATTACCGTTCAGTAATGTTGTGGTAATGAAAAATTTACCACTCAGGAACAATTTACGACCAATCCGGTATGAAATTATTACCAAATCAACACCAACACGGAGTATCTATGTGACTCTACCAGATTTTTAACAGGGTATAGACATACAACATTATAGTTATGTGTTCAGACACAAGTGTACAATGTACAAATGTACATGCACATTTATGTAATAATAATATATAGGTATAATCATGTAATATGTACCAAATGTATATACATTTGCATGTAGTATACATATTTGTACAATAACTAATTACTTAGGTACATGTTTATCGGTATATGCCTTGTGGACTAGACAATAATATATGTATTATCCTATCTGAATGATAAGTATACGTATACAGATTACTTATCTTAGCGATTCCAATAGATGGATTTGCAACTCAAGGAAATATTTTGAAAAGTGATGATAGGTTGGAAATTTGGAAAAATAAGTATGCAGAACTTTTTATATTATGTGAGGAATTGTTTGCGCTAAACATGTGATGTCGTCGTGCGTGCAGGATTGTTCATTGGTGAATCAGAAATAACAAAGGAGATGATAATCATTATGGATTTTTTGGTATTCAAAATTAAGTAAAATTTTAGAACACGTAATTTGAAACTTAATCATTTAGTACAAATAGGTATAGAGATATGCATGCCTTGTATTATTCAGAATTACAAATTTACGTGAGTTACAAAATGTCGTCAAAGCACAATCACGGTTACATAATGTCAAAAACTATGTGGTTTTAACCACCGTCCAAACCAGTTTTAACCAGTTTTTGACGCTGAATTATGGACGTCCAAAACGTCCAAAAAGTGTCTAAATTAGAAAGGGGCAAAATGTTATAAGTTCTTCATTGTTGTATTTTCGATAATCCGTTGACGTAAGGACATGTAGATAATATTCTTTCTATTAATCCTGGGCCTTTTGGCATGTACTACCAACTATGGCAAGTAGTACAAAATTCCTAAACTTCTCATAAGAGAACATGTTGAAACAAAAGTTTGTTTTCCAAATTTCGTGTTATTTCGTGTTATTTCGTGAATACAATAATGGGTGATTTTCAAAGAGAAGCATTATACTATATATTACTTATAGCATTTTGCATTATAGCATTATATTACTTATAGCATTTTGCCCCATTTTCCAATGTTGCACGTTTTTGGACAATTTTGAAAGTTTTTGGATGGTTTCCAGTCCTAAAGTAGTTTTGGACATACAAAACGAAACACAACGGAGGAATGGTTAAGGTCATTCGTGCAATATTTTACTGAATTTTATGTGTGATGTGATAGTAAATATTGTTATTATTGGCCTTCTAGTGGACCATGCATATTTACTTACAAACTATGTATATGTAATTTGCTACCACTTACTTGTTAGGGAAATATGTATGTAAACCGGACATACCTACGCTAATTCAACGTCTGATTTATACGTGAGATATGTACATTTAATAAAATATGTATGTCCTGTTTACATCAAAACAACGAGGAGTATATAATATTCCTTGCAATTTGATTACAAATTCTTCCACCAATTTGTAATCTATCACCGGGTGGAAATAAGTATGTAGGCTCATTCCATTTGTAAGCAACACGTTTGATCGAGTACCAGGAAATAGAGGTGCTAAACCCTGCTCGCTGGTGGTGGCTGCCTGACCATGTATTTTCCTCTCTTTGATATGAGAACACCACACAACTTATGCTTTGTCAATGTTTCCGGCCACGTAGGAACACAGAATTATTTACTACTGTCTACACAAGCAGCCCATGTTAATTTTACCTTTTCGAAAAATCGCCAAAACTCCAAGACGGACAAAAATCGCGTGGGGTTTTAAACTTTTTTGTTTCCTCAGGCCCAAAGGCATCGATTCGCTTATCTCTCTATGAGCGATTCTTGTCCGTCTTCTCGATAATCGAGTTTTTCAATACATTTTAAATTTCTAATTTTTTTGAATTTTTGAATTTTTGAAAATTTTTCCTATCAATGAATGATCAATGAATGAAATCTGCAAATGTAACCTACCCCTTTGAACCAACACTTTGGCGGCGAAAGCATTTTCAATGCATTTGCAAATTTTCTTTGAACTGCTATATCTTTGCGAAAAAAATTAATTTTCAAATTTTGATTTTTATGATATGTTGTATTTTATATTATGCATCTATGATAAGATTGTGGACAAGATATCAAATATGGGTGCGACGACGATCGTGTGGGTTCAGATGGAATGAGCCTGTATTTCTGGATGTTTTTATGCAGATAAGACCACCAAATTATTTATTTCTTCGAGCATGAAAATTTTCAATATTTTGAATTTTGATATTAAGAATTCAGCTACATGTTCATGTGTACGACATTGTGATCCCAGCAAAGGGTATTAACGGCGACCAAAATTTAACCAGGTGCTAGTGTAGCCACCAGCTGTTTCAAAAATTTAGAAAAGTTAATAAACAGTTCAGAAATTTTTTATAATCAGTTCAACGGATAACCATGGCTTACCCCAGGTGGGTGGCTTAACGGTAGGGAAGCCAATTATTGGCGCTTTGGTCGTGGTCGCTGCGGTCGTCGCTGCCGTGGTGGCTGCGGTCGTCCCTGCCGTGGTGGCTGCGGTCGTCCCTGCCGTGGTGGCTGCGGTCGTCCCTGCCGTGGTGGGTACCGTTGTCCCTGCCGTGGTGGGTACCGTTGTCCCTGCCGTGGTGGGTACCGTTGTCCCTGCCGTGGTGGGTACCGTTGTCCCTGCCGTGGTGGGTACCGTTGTCCCTGCCGTGGTGGGTACCGTTGTCACTTCCGTGGTGGGTACGGTCGTGGGTTCCGCAGTAGCTACCGTGGTGGGTTCTGTACCCTGCCCCTGGACGGCACAAATCAGACCAACGACAGCCAAAGTGTACAAGAGAAACTTCATGTTGGAAATTTTTTGTAGAGAGTTCAGTTTGATTGATGATAAGAGGGAGACGATTAGCCGATTAGTGATACTTTCGGTGTATCTCCGTGGCCTTTTTATATTCGTAAATTACTTCGTCCCAGAGTTTAGAATTTTGAGAATTTAAGTTAAATAGAGCTACCCAGCAATTTTACACGGGATTTATTATGCAAATTTGTTTTTTTCATAAGCAGTATCTTTGTTCGTACGATGTGTTGCATAATGACACGACCAGACTTTGCTTCGTACATACGTAGTTTTAGCATGAAATTTTACATTAAGCATACATACACATGTAAGTAAGTAGTCCATCATCATCATTCTGTCGATTGTCACATAGTTAACTTCAAATATGGCGTGACACCGGTGTTAATTCATACACATTTGTAGAATCTGACTTGAATATTTCTAATGTAATATGTAAATCTTAGTTTTTGTAAGGATCTAAATAGTGTTAAAGTCGGAGCATCTGCGATTTTCAGTAAAACTATGTATGTACGCGCATTTAAATTCTATATAGTAATTTACGACAAATTGCGACACATATTCAAGATTTCTGAGAATTGGAATGGTCGTGAATCGAAATCTCGCCAAATATACATAAATATTATAATATTTCAATGCATAGAAAATATTTCTGAAATCCATCTATAATGGGAACAATGATACAATTCTTGAATTCTATAAATCGGTGCTTATGAATTAATGACGCGGAAAGCTGCTACATTTTTATAATTCTAATGTGGGTATAATAAAAATTTTAAATGCAAATTCATACCTTCAAATTAGATCAAGGTCGGGACTTATGTAACTTCAAAAATTTATTCGCAAGTTTGTAAATCCAGTGTTTATTGGTCGTATTAAATTATTGACAACCAGTCCAATAGAAGTAAAATAGCAATCATATTAAGATTTACATAGTAAGATTTTAAAATTATATTACTTAATTGTCAACAAAACCCGTATCGTCCCTTTGACCACGCCCTTGAAAAACTTCAAAACGCTCAACGGCTTGATAATAAAGTAACCCTGGTGACCAATTCCCAAGGGCCTTGTACTCTTTCTAAACTTTGACATGTATTTCGCCTCCCACGAATCCTTGACCACCATAAATTTCCACGAGTCCCGATTAGCCTTCGCGTAGAGGTAGAAATGACCCCCCACGTGGAGCACGAAATACCAGAAAATTTGAATCGCGATTGTCCAGCAGAGAAGTAACGAGCGAGTCAAAGCCCCCAAGTGATCCCAATTTCGGATTAGGACGAAATTCGTGTAGAGGACGAATTGCATGGCTAAGACTTGAAATGGGAGGATGTAGATTCCCCACACTTTCATCGAGTACAGGTGAAGCAGTTCCGCCTTTCGGTATTCAGTGGGCAAGTGGGCGACTGACCTGAATTCAGGAAAAGTGGTGTGTCTCGATGAGGGGAGTTTGACGTTGAATTCAGTGTAATGAATGGGAATCATTAAGGCTGAAAAAAATGAGAGGAATTAGTGATTTACATATTTTCTCTTGAAATCTTTTTAAATTTATAATTTTACATGGTTCACGGGGTTACACATTTTGGTGTGAATAACTTGAAAATTTATAATTCAGTGATGTGGAAATTTTGGCAAAGGTTTGAAGTGATTATGCTAGTGCCAATTACATACATAAACCAGATGAATATTACATCTAAGTAATTCAAGCAGGCCAGTATCATTGTAAAATCCATAAATTCTGGAAACTTGCATACAAACTTTTACTAAATTTTGAGACAATGTATGAATCTCAATCTCAATAAAACTACAATAAACTTATTCAGATCAAGAATGATTTTTTATTTTGTAAAAACATGCAAAACAATTTTTTCAAAAGTTCCGGATTTTACTAATGACGGCTATTGCCTCTTACTTTCGATATTACATATGTTTAAGTGTATGTGTCTGAATGGGCATGTAAAGTTTCAAGAAATATATTTAATTAGCGCTCTTCTTATACTAATTTAATTACCTGAAAAAGCCATCGTAAACAAGATTAGTACCACTATAACCACAGGGATAAGAAAGTATCCATAAGTGCCATAGATAAGAAAGCAGTAGAATATGAGCCTGTAATTCTTTGTATTCTTTGGCACCATGGAAATCCAAAAGACGGGCACATCCTCCCAAAAATACACGAGGAATGCACCGAATAAAAAGTACCCCATGCTACCCAGACAAAATACGCGTGCCAACAAGAACAGTGGATCTGCGGCTAGCAAGGTTTCCGTGTTATACGTTTCTACCCAGTTATCTGCAAATTTTGGAAAATATGTAATTACTACCATATTTACATAGTTTCCCAAGACATGAAAACTTCTTATGGAACTATTTACTGTTCGCTCAAAATTAATATGAACTAAAAAAATCTGAAAGCTTATCTGGCTGATGATTAGTTCCCACGACTTTATTTTGTAAGTACATTATTTTCCAGCTTTTACGTGAGTTGTATTTAAAAATAGAACAAATATACATAGTTAAAATGTTGACGACGGAAATCAGTAAATCTATTGGGCATTTCACATTCTAAAAAATTTTGAGGACTTACATATTGACTTTGACTGAACAGTAATGTTCAAAATTTTACATACTTATAAATTGTAAATATCAAGTTTTCATAATAACGAATAACTTACCCCTGTAAATAGTCGCATATTCGTTCATAGCATTCCCCAACTTTGCGATATCTTCGGCTTGAAACACTTGAGACAAATAGGCCGTTATCGGCAGTAAGGCGGCGAACGTGAAGGCGACACAGACATTGAACTGATACACGTTTTCACGATCCATTCCAATGCAGCGGACCAGGCCGAAAATAAATTGCAAGGTCATAAACGTTAATCCGATCGTCGCCTTCCATTTTGCTTTGGGCGATATGTAAAACCATTTCCGTTTGTAGTCGTATTTCAAGGCGGATGCTCCCGCGCGGGATGCGAGTTCCAAATACATTTCCAGGAGGAGGTGGAACTGTTGTTAAAACATTGCGAAAAACCGAAGGTAATTTGGAAATTTGAGAAAATTCCGGAGGGAACTTTTAATATTGCTGGATTTCGTTAAAATGGGCTTGAAGACGTCGTACCTATGTCATACCTACGTTATATAACGAATGTGCGTCATAGTGGATTTGAGAGGAAATGAAAAATTCTAGACGGTAGGAAACTCCAGTTGTTAGTTTGTTAAATTTTGGTATAATTAAAGTGAAATGTAAACAATTTGAGGACATTTGAAAAGTTCAATTTAAATCTTGGTATACAATTAGAGGGATACTCGTATTATTACGCGTTGAAAATTCACATACCTATGTAAGATTTATCGGTTGAGAATGGATTCAATATTGTAAGGATAATAATAAAGGATGTGTAAGTGAGGCTGAAATGTTAAGGTCAATGATACTAAATTTTATAGAATTTCGTTTACTGGGTGGTCTCATATTAAACACATATTATTAGCGGAATATCAGTGGAATATATGTATGTACGTAGGTACTTACATGTGAATATACAATAATATACATACAAACTCTAGGCATACTCATATTTTGAAGCGTCTCAACTTATTTGGAAAAATTGCGACGCTCAAGAAATTTATGTTGGTAATGATGAGGATGAGTTTTCGAAATAATTTTGCAAAAACATGCCTATTTGGAAAATAAATCTAACGGTGTTTCAGCAAGTGTTTTGCGAAATCTCATAAATTTGGCAAAACTTTAAGAGCTAAAAACGCTGCTATGCATGCTTAATTGGCGGGATACATACATACAGGCAGAACAACTAGCCATGCATAAGCCACCTCCCTCAACCACTTTTTCTCTTTAGGGCTACTCAAAAGCTGATCCAAAACGTAAACAAAGTAAAATCGTGCGATCGACTTGTAAATCAAAATTTAAGCATCTAGTGACCTTAAAAATTTATTTTTATATAGTTTTTATCGCCATGACCTTTTTCGATACCATGTGACCTAACCTGGCCAAAATTGCGCGATCAACTTGAAATTCAAAATTTAAGAGTTTTGTGACTTCAAAAATGTATTTCTATTTTATGTTTATCGCCGTGACCCTTTTTCCACCTAGTTCATGAACTGAACCTTTCTGTTTGCAACTTTACTCTATGAATTAGGTCGAAAAAAGGTCACGGCGATAAACATAAAATATGAATACATTTTTGAATTCACAAAACGCTTAAATTTTGAATTTCAAGTCGATCGCGCAATTTTAGCCAGGTTAGGTCACATGGTGTCGAAAAAGGTCATGGCGATAAAAACTATATAAAAATAAATTTTTAAGGTCACTAGATGCTTAAATTTTGATTTACAAGTCGATCGCACGATTTTACTTTGTTTACGTTTTGGATCAGCTTTTGAGTAGCCCTAAAGAGAAAAAGTGGTTGAGGGAGGTGGCTTATGCATGGCTAGTTGTTCTGCCTGCATACATATGTAAATATGTGAGATATGCGAAGGTGAATGTCCAATTCATCTGATACGCTGTCTAATTCAATTTCGAACCATGCTGAGATTAAATACTCCGATAAGTAGCAATATAAATAACTAATTCTTTCCCAAGTTTGCCAAATATGTGCATAGGTAATCGGCCATTGGATGGACACTTGTAAATGTTTATTATGCAATTAATTTGAACTTTTATTTGTCAGAAAACAGAATGAGAGCGGAACAAAGTTATGATTTTGATATTAAGAATTCAGCTACAAGTTCATCTGTTCGGCATTGTCACCCCAGCAAAAGGTATTAACGGCGACCAAAATCTAACCAGGAGCTGGTGAAGTTAGCAGCTGTTATAAAAAATTGAAATGAGTTAACCGTGTTCAAGGATAAATACATTTATCAGTTCAGCTAATCCTAAATACTAGAAAATCTTAGCTTACCCCAGGAGGGTGGCACAACGGTGGGGAAACCAATGATTGGCGCCCTGGTCGTCGTGTTAGTAGGATCTGGAGCAGGGACTTCTTCTTCACCCTCTGCCCAGACGGCACAAATCAGACAAACGATGGCCAAAGTGTACAAGAGGAATTTCATCTTGGAAATTTGTTTGTAGAGATTTCGGTTGATGATAAGATTGAGGAGACGAGTAGGCGATTAATGATACTTTTTGTGTGTCGAGGTTGCCCTTTTATATGAGTTCGTTGGTTAAAGTCTTTATAAATACGTTTAAATTCACGGGATTTACGTGAAAGGAACTTTCTGAGATTTTTCATACATCTCTTCAGGTGACAATGAGTATACAAAACTTTTTCATACTAAATTATTAAAATGCTATTAATGCGCATATTGCATAAAAACATGACCAGACCTTGCTCCTGAATATGTATGTGGTTCATAGAATGGTTCAGATTGGTCTATTGTTAGGTAACTAAATATTACATAGCACAGCACACTTTTAAAACTCTTGTACATATATTCATGCAGATATTAATTTCTGGGTATTAAGTTTGCTACCGTTCTGTATATTCATATGCTGGTCTGTAAAAATTTGCCCCTGATATGATAAAACTTTAATAAGGAGCTATTACTAAACGGTATTACTTTATTACTTATCAACGCCACTTTGGCAGAGTCACATGTGAGTACTTGGTATTATTTTAGTACTGGATTTCTAAGGGTGTATATATGGAGTTATTAATAAGTAATAGCATTAAATCATACAAGGTCTAAATTGTTTACTTCCTTGTAACATGAATATAGCTTCACAACGGTACCAGCTGTGATTCTAAATAAAATTAGGTGTATTATATTTTTCAAAATGTGAACTTCTACATATGTAGGTATTTAAGTACTGATAGATATGTAATACTACAAATGTTCGGTAATGAAACAAGTATTCAAGATTTCTGAGAATTAGAATAATCTCATCAATACATGTGTTTATGTGTAAAAATATTTTCCATAGTATATTTACAGGAAATCTATCAACGATAATGCTTATATAATTTTTGAATACTTAATCGACTTTTATGTATGTATGTATACAAGGCACAGATGAAAGTTGCGAAATTTTGATTATTCGCGTTAGACGAAGATATTACACGTATTTACTACTATTCTCAAAAAAATATTTTAGTATAACATAAACAAATTTTATTTCTAGAATATTCTGCTATTTGGAACAATTAGGTTTTGGTTTTCCCATTAGCAAATTTTATATTTTGTGAGACTTTACTCAGAAGAAATTGATTTTTTTACATTAAGGCGAGCTGAGAAGAAAAACTTGTGCCCGTCAAAAGTTTTCTAAATCACAAAATACATTATCTGTTGTTATTGTTCTTCAAAATATTAACCCACGCCGTGAAGCAACTTTTCTCCATCGTAACCCAATAAAACCCTCGGATCCATGCGAATTCCATTATTCCCACAATTATTCCGATCCCTACAAGAAATCCGCTAATTACATAAACGAACTGGACCTTCGTTACGGACAGTTCCTCCACCCTTCGTTCCAGCTTGACCGCCAATTTAAATCCCTTCGTGTAATAGTTCACCCTATGGTAGGCCTCGTACCAGAGCTCGATCAACCCGGAGCTCATCATCTGACCCAGTTTTCGTCGCAATCTTCCGCCATAATCTTTCCGAAAGGTAAATTGAATACCACGGTTCGTTATTATGGATTCCTTGACGATGAGAGCTTCAAAGTTCATGCCGTATTTCAAGAAGTAACTGTTGATTAATGCCCACGTCCAAAATGCTTTAGGTTGGAGGTACACAAAAGCATCCCGTGCTTCGATGAGGGTTTGAGATCCATTTCCTACGTAGAAACATGACTTATTGATAAATTTGAAAATTGCGAAATTTTATGAAACGATTACCCCGAGAAATGTTTTTAACTCGTTTTCTACTCCGTTCTTTTGATTTCGCCAAATTAACAGCATGTTTTGCAGCCAGGGGTGATTCGGCAATCTTGTTTAAAACGTCGGTAAAACGAGTAACTTTTTGTGCATTAATTCCCGTAGTAACGTTGTCAACAATTATGGCAAACGAGGCATTGATGAGATGTTCGTAATCTTGGAGTATTTCAGGTTCTCTTGGCTTAATGACTCGTGCTGTCATGTCACCCTCGTAAATGAAGAGGAAAGGAATCAGAGAGAAAATTACGATCAAATTTAACGGGGTAAAGTGAGCCTCGCCTTGTCGAAAGAATGCCGACATTGCGGTCCAAACCGCATTACTTAAATTCTTCCGGATTAAAGTTATGACTGCAGAATAGGTTACGAACACGGTAACCACGCCGATCCAGGTGGGCGTGTCGTACGCTTGGAAAAGCAAAGCCCCAATTGTCTTCACTCGATAAAGGTCAGGTTTCGATTTGTAGTAAATGATATCGATTTTCGTCTCTTTTATGACGAGGAATGATACTTTGCGCGGGTTCTCTTGATCTCTCTGTGAGTGCATGGCTCTCATTCGTGGAGTATAAATCGAGGCGGGAGTGGTATCTGTCCGCCCTATAAAGTACGTTTGGTTGAATAGCAAATCTGGATGATAGACATAAAATGCGGTAAAATTAAAGAATTTTTCCAACTCGTAGAGGAGGACGTGTCTTGGATGAAGGAATTTGGGTTGATCTCGAAGATTAAACATCTTTCTAATACTCCATGTTAGCCTAAGGTTAAGCACCGTTTGTCGTGAGTTGTCGTTCGGATCAAAAATCCATACGTCCGTTCCGAGAAAGTCGAATTTTGAAATTCCCGCGACATCTGAGGTGAATTCTATGGGTTAGCAATTAGAGAAATTGAACCAAATTGTGTATTAAGCATACATTATCCTTGCATGTTGCACTCTTAGAAATCCAGTATTGAAATAATTCCAAGCGGTATTCATGTATAACTCTACCAAAAAGTGGAATTGATAAGTATGTAGTATCGAATAGTAATAAGTACATATCTCGGTATTAAAGTTTTACTATATCGGTAGCAATTTTTTGCGGAACGATATATTTAGTTCTACTACCAAGCGATAGCAACTTTAATGCAGAGAACTCAATCCTGCCTATGTATGAGTATATCAGATTTCTAACAGCGTATTATTAAAATCTGGCTGAATGTAATTTTTTAAATTAAATTTGCTCACAAAAAATAACCTTTATTTGGTTACTTATCTACGTACTAACCTTCGAGGGGGATACGTTGCGTATCCGGGAATACAAGTTGTCGCTCGACTCTTAGAAGCTTATCCAACCTGTAATCGGCAAACATTACGAATTTTTCCTTTGCATTCTCAACGTAAGATACCATCCGATTGAAACTAAATTCGCGATCTAATTCTGGGGACATCACGACCAGATTGGATATCGTATCGTTTTCATAAACAGCTGGCATGTAACTTAACGTGGATTCTTGGACGATGATAAAATCGAGGAAACATTTCTGCAAGGAAAATTTAAACTGTTTCGGCGTGTTTAAAACGACTCGTTCTGATTGCCCTACAGTTTTAAGGGTGGATTGTTGAATGAATGTGTTGTCTGCAAATAAATTGTCGACAGGAAAGTCGACAGATTTGTTTTTGTCGGTCTCGCCGTAAATGGCGAAATTCCAAGTGCAAAGAGTAAAAGAATTAAATTGGTGGGGAAGTTTGAGGGAGGAGGATAACGTGGAAAGGGAAATGATGATAAGCAATTGTGAGATTGTGAAAAGAGACATTTTAGTTAATGGCGTCGTACTGATATACGTGTGGTTATCGACGGTATTACGGTTAAAATTTGTACTGCGTGAGCTCAAGTACAAGTCTGGCAGAAAGGATGGGATCGATTTGAGTAGGATGGAAATGTGCAACTAATTTGCTGTCCAGAAATGAGAAGCGTTTTGTGAATAATAAGAACACTGTAAATAGTATTGTGACTAAATGACTTGCCACAGAGTTCGTAGGATATTGACGAATTAGAAAAATAGCTATCCATGAAATTCGAATTCATAAAACTGTGAATAAAATTTAGATTTTGTGAATAATCATTGTCACTGTTTGTTGAATTTATCAATGGGTGAAAATTGAGTTACCATAATTTTTAGTGTGCATGAATACATGATAAGTTTTGATTAATCTGGCAAATGTATTTGGCATTTCGTGACGACGCCTAAACTAGCTCTTTAATTAAGATATTTGGCTAAAATAGACTAATAAATGCATCCGCGTGTGAATACATATGTATATAAATATTTATACATACATACATAAGTATCACGTATGCTTGAAAAGTGCGCAATATGATATCGAAAGCTCTGTTTAATACTTTTTTAATCGTCTCTAGGCCCTCCCATTTTGACGAATGTGCACCAAAATACATTTTTTATGAAAACACGGAACGGATATTTAATGTGGACTCGGTTCAATAAACACGGCATTTAATTATATGCAAATTATTATACAAGTCTATCTAAAACATCATCATTGCATCCATGTCAGCCTTCATTTTGGCCATTTCCTTCTCCATGTCACCAGAATCTCCGTCGGAAGCAAATGCAATGGCATCTTGATCTCCCGTCGCGACAACGGTGACAGAAACGTTGCCATCTTTATCCTTCGTGACGGACTTGACAGGCTTTTGGCTCGACTTTGGCGAGGGTTCTAATAATTTAAGAAATATTTAGATTTTAAATTGACAAGTTAGTTCTTATTTCTTTTCCATGTCGTTCATAATACCTTTAGACCCGGGCTTCTTCTTGGAATTTTTCTTTTTCTGAGGTTTGTTTTTCGGATTTTTCTTTTTCTGTGGCTTCTTTTTACTTTTCGTCTTAGAATTCTTCTTAGCAGGTGGATTTTTGTCATTCTTTCCTTTATTTTTCTTCTTTTGTGCATTTCCACTCGTCTCTGACATCGACATATCGGGCATTTTCATAGCATCGGCCATATCCATTGTGGGGAAATTCATCTCGGGAAAATCCATGTCCATCTTCATTTCAGGAAAGTCAGGCATTTTGAAATCGAAACTTCGTCCTTGTGGATTTTTATGAGGATTAGAATCTTCTGATTCGGACTTCTTCAGATTTGGCATTTCAGCGGCGGAAACAGCTTTGACAAATTCATGGTTAGATCGACCACTGTAATGGAACGACCGGAAATGAGTGCGATGATGAGATGAAAGTTAACGTCTGTAAGGATAAGTGAAGTATGAAAATTAATGGAAAATTTACAGTAGTTAAATTAAGTTGATCTTACGAGGCAGTGCATCCCTGGAGTACAAATTTGGATAACAACTGATTCCCGTGATACAAATAATTAACACGGCTAATAGACTAAATACTGATGAATAGTTCATGATTTCAATTACGGATGAATTTAAGTACAACGAATGTTACCTATCTGAAAGTGTGGCTTACTTCATCGCTGATTTTTGCATATGTAGGCATGCACATATGCAAATTCGGTCCAAAAATAAAAGACGTGAGCGATGTTACGAAATAATGAGAAAACTCATTGATGATTACGGTGCATGACAAGGTTATATGTACCCATTGTGTATATGAATTGTATTATTTTATTATAATTGTAAACTGTCATTGCAATCGAATCGCTTATTAAATAAGTAAATATGCAACCAATTATCATGAAGTACATATATAAATCTCGTGATTTTTTAGTGAGACAGATATACTTAAGAGGCTTATTTAAAAAAGATATGAAAGTTTTGTTCCTCTGAAACGATGCATACATATCAAAAGCCAAGATTATTCACTCTAAATAAAGTTATGTAAAATTTACTTAAGGTTGAGTCAAATAGAGGATTCCACAACAATTGAGTAAAATTTATCCAATGTTGGAGTGTGATTGTCATCCATGTGATAAATTATTGAAAAACAATTGTTACCTGATCACAAGGTTGCCATTGTCTGCAAAATTGGCCACTACGTACCTAAAGACCGATTGTAAGGTTGAAAACAAACTGAAGCGAGCTTAAGGCGGAATAGCATGCTGGCTGATGCGGGGTTTTTTGTTTGAATTGTTGTGTCTCAACTTTCCCTTCCTCCATGTATTCAAATGGCAATTTTGAAAAATGTTCACCGCCTTTCGTTTTTAACAATATGAAGATATTAATGCACCTGAAAATCGGTAATTTTTAGGCTTACATAGTTAGGAGATAAAAATTTTGATTTTTTTCTTCAACAAGAAGATAAATATAAAATAGCTGAAAAATAATCATTAAAATTTAAATATTTCCTCATTGAAGAAAAAAATCAAAATTTTTATCTCCTAACTATGTAAGCCTAAAAATTACCGATTTTTAGGTGCATTGATATCTTCGTATTGTTAAAAACGAAAGGCGGTGAACATTTTTCAAAATCGCCATTTGAATACATGGAGGAAGGGAAAGTTGAGACACAACAATTCAAACAAAAAACACGTGATACAATGCCACGTTAACGGTTCATGCCTATGTATTTAGTTACTATTTTCCGTAAATTAACCAAGAACCCATAATCTATGGCAAATTTCCCCAAAATCACAGATTTAAAAATAAGGAGTAATTGTACATTACGAAAATGTGTTAAATATTTTATCTGCCCATCATTGCATCCATTTCAGCCTGCATTTTGGCCATTTGCTGTGCCATATCCCTGGAGTCTCCTCCATCGGAGGCAAATGCCATGGCATCCTGACGTCCAGATCCCATCACGTTGACAGCAACGTTTCCATACTTGTCTCTCTGCATGGACTTGACAGGTTGCGATTCTACATGCATAATCATGAAAAAAAATATTCAGATTTTAGGAAACATAGAAACTTAAATTATGTAAATTTTTCCTTACTTTGCTTATTATTCGTACTTGGGTACTTATTCATAGAGTAGGAATTCTTATTAGGGGCGGAATTATAATTATTATTATAATTTTGTCCCGTATTTGACTTCATCTGTCCATTTCTATTCGGTTGTGGCATCCCTGACATGCCCGGCGATTTCATAGCATCGACCATACTCATTGTTTGAAAGTTCATGACGGGAAACATGTCCATCTTCATATCAGGAAAATTATTCATTTTGAACTGCGCTAAACTTTTCCCTCCACGTTTTTCATGTTTTTCATTTTTTTCCGTGTCAGAAACATCTTTCACGTCAGAAATATCTTCTTTCTTGGTGTGTATCTGATCCGCAGAGATGGCCTTGACAAAGGAGTGACGATATGTTCCAAAATAGTGGCGAGGACGAATCCGCGGTGGATTAAAGTCTATGGAAGATAACAAATTTAAAATTCTGTGGTGTGTTTGATTTACATATTTTACAATTTCACTTACGAGTGCGAGTGCCACCCGTCGAGTAAATTTTAGTGAATGAGGAATAGCTCCCAGATATGCAGCAAATTATCACGATGTAAATGAATCTCATGATTTTTTAAAGAGACAGAACTGTTTATTCAGGATGTTTACAACTTCGATTCAAATTTGTGTGGGTTACGTCCAAGATATGACTATGAAAGACAAGAGTGACACAAGTATGCTTGTCATTAAATATCTACATCATTGAACCTAAATTACTAATTGATCGCAAGGTTGATATTGTGTTTGTGTTTTTATAACAAAAGTGGTCACTACCTAAGGGAACGATTGTAATGTAAAGTTGAAAAAAACGGAGCAAGGTTTTTGGAGGTGATGGTGCTTAAGATTTGTTATTATTTATTTACCTTAAATTGCATATTATAAATTAGCTATTGAGACATGCATAATAAACACTGAGAATTGGGTTATGAATATTTTATTCCCCTTCATAAACAACTATGATTCTCATTTTTGGGCACTTTTTATTCTACATTTAAGTTGTTCACAAAATACTTGTAAATGTACGTACCAACAAATAGATTTCGAAAGCAATCCAAGTTCCACAGGCATGGTCAATTCCAAAATTTTGGGGTTTATGTTTAAGAAATATCTTAAGCGACAAAATCTCGCAAAGCGTTGAGATTCATTTGGCCAAATATTTCATATCAAAATTTAACAGGAAACAGACAAAGGTTATGGGATGTTTGGATATTATGAGGCAACAAAATGTGTAGAATTACAGTAAATCTAGATATGTACGTACGTATGTAAGTTTGTATTATTTTTAATAGCTTTTGAAGAAACAATGAGGGTATTCATGACGAGTTCGCATCGTTAGCAACGTTAGCAAAAAAATCGCAAGTTCGCAAACTTTGCTTTGAAAATTACATTCATTCACGAACTTGTGCATCTCTCGAAGATTACATACATAGTATTTAGTAGGCAATTATTTTTTTTCAAAATTGTCTTGCGATACGAACGTGCTAACTCGTAATGAATCCCCATAATGTTATCAGCAATTTTTTATACACATGTACACACATATATATATGCATTTCTTGATCACCCCCTATTTTCCCATCATTGCTTCCATCTCCGCCTGCATCTTGGCCATTTCCTTCGCCATTTCTTCCGACCCTGAGTCGCCATCGGATACGAGCGCGACACCATTTCCAGTATTGCTCGGGGCAGTAGACGCCTCTGAAAGAGGCGGCTCTGTAGCAAATGGATCGGATATCTTCATATCGGACATTTTCATGTCCACACTCATATCGGGCATTTTCATGCCCAGACTCATATCGGGAAACATGTCCATCTTCATATCTGGGAAATCTGGCATTGTTAAATCGAAACTTCTCCCTCCCAGTTTTTTATGAGGGTTAGAGGCGTCTTCTTTGGTACTTATTTGATCCGCAGAGATGGCTTACACATATTGGTGAGGTGAGTGACGATACATTCCCCAAGGGTGACGGGGCCGAATTCGCGGTAGATTAAAGTCTATGAGAAGCACACAATTAACAAATAATAGTTAAACTAACCTCTGGAGAATCCGATTTCTTTTGCAATTTGACTTACGAAAAATGCCACCTGACGAGTACATTTTGGTGAATAAGCAATCGCTCCCAGATATGCAGCCAATTATCACGACGGATATTATAAATCTCATGATTTTTTAAAGAGACAGAGAAAAATATTTAAGACGCTTAAAATTCTTCAAATTTGGTACAAAAGAAAAGTGTTAAATATGTGCGTAAATAAATACGTATTTATTCATTTTATCCATGTTATGTAACTAATTATGTATTCAGCACGGTCAATTTAACATTGTCTTTCGGTTAACAAATTGGCCACTACCTACAAAATCGATTGTACTATTTAAAACAAAACAAGCGAAATTGTATTATTTACTGTGTATAAGTTGTACATATATTAGTTATGTAAGTAAATTAACCATTAAGCTACGTATATATATATATACATATATTTAATAATGTTCATATTATCACAGAAATAAAAATAAGGAAAACTTGATTAAATTCACTTGAATATTTTATTTTCCCATCATTGCTTCCATTTCCGCTTGCATCTTGGCCATTTGCTGAGTCATTTCTTCCGAGCCCGAGTCTCCGTCGGATGCAAAAGCGGCAGCATCGCCAACCTTGGAAGCATTGGAAGTTAGGCTGCCACCTTTGGACTTCATTGGCTGGCGTCCAATCTTGGGTGGTGACATGTCTGAAATTGACAAGGAATTTTAGAAAGACGAATAATAATTCTGGAAATTTTACGTTGATACTTTTCATACCGGGAATTTTAAACTCTGGCATTTTCATATTCATGGCGGGAACATTCATTCCTGGCATTTTCATATTAGGTGCTTCCCACTTCGACATCATCATATTGGGAAAGGTCATACTTGACGCCTTGGGATCCGGCTTTTTGTTTGTGGGCGCTTTTGTGACAGGTTTATTTGATATGAAATCTGGCATTTTCATATTCATGGCGGGAACGTTCATGCCAGGCATGCTTAAGTTTGGCGCTTCCCACATGGGCATCTTGGCATCAGGCTTTTTATTTGTGGGAGTTTTTGCTACTGGCTTGTTGGACATAAAATCTGGAATTTTCATATTCATGGCGGGAACGTTCATGCCAGGCATACTTAAATTTGGCGCTTCCCACTTGGGCATCATCATATTGGGCATCTTTGCATCTGGCTTTTTGTTTGTGGGAGCTTTTGTCACTGGTTTACTGGACATGAAATCTGGAATTTTCATATTCATGGCGGGAACGTTCATGCCAGGCATACTTAAATTTGGCGCTTCCCACTTGGGCATCATCATATTGGGCATCTTTGCATCTGGCTTTTTGTTTGTGGGAGCTTTTGTCACTGGTTTACTGGACATGAAATCTGGCATTTTCATATTCATGGCCGGAACGTTCATACCAGGCATGCTTAAATTTGGCGCTTCCCACATGGGCATCATCATATTAGGAAAACTCATACTTGACGCCTTGATATCTGGCTTGTTATTAGCGGGAGCCTTCGTAACTGGTTTTCTGGACATCGACATATCCGGCATTTTCATAGGGTTGGCCATATTCATTGTGGGAAAATGCATGTCGGGAAACATGTCCATCTTCATTTCGGGAAAATCAAAGCTAGGCATTTTGAAACCGAAACTTCTTCCTTGTGGATTTTTATCCTGGTTCGAATCTTCTGATTCGGACTTCTTCGGAGCTGGTAATTGATCGGCGGAAATAGCTTTGACAAAGTCATGGTTAGCTCGTCCATTGTAATGGAACGACCGAAAACGTGGGCGATGACGAATCCGCGGAAAGTTTAAATCTGTCAAAATAAATAATTGAAGCTGTTAAATAAATTGTTAAGACATTTATTGTAGTTAAGTAAGTTAATCTTACGAGGAATTCCACCTCTGAAGTACAAACTTGGATAACAACTGCATCCCGTTATGTAACTTATTAACACTACTAAACTAAACACTGATGAAGATTTCATTATCTTAAATTCGGATAAACGTAATTGCAACCTTCGTTGAAAGCGTGGTAAATTAATGAGTTTTATATAGGTACATAAATTTAATTCAAAAATGAAAGAGGTGGATGATGTTACGAAATAATGAGAAAACACATTGTTCATTATTATGACAAGTGACACCCATTGTGTAAATTGTGTCATCTATCTATTATGATTATATTTGGAAACTGTTTTATTAATATAAATACAAATGTAATTACTCAGGTCTAGACATTCTAGAGATTTTCTTTCATATCCAGCAATGCGAAAGGGAAAACCAGAACTCCCCAAAATGCATATATCAAATTATACCCATCAGGAATTACATCTGAATTACCCTGTACTGTATTTGTACTTTATTAGGACGAAAATCTGCTTAGTTGAAAATTTCTGCTCTCCTTTGCGATCTCGGGAAATATAATTTGTAAATATATTGAGAAATAAGCTTTTTATGCAATATATTTTCTACATCATGAAAAAGTTTATTATACATTTCTAAGCAAGTTGATGCATACTTATGAATTTGTACATTGAGTAAGTAATTTATGCAGATGGCGACTTCTGTACTTAATTAAGTATAAATATCATAAATTGATTATTTATTATCGACATGCATAATACCTATGTAAGTAAGTATGTATGCATATTTAGGTACACATAATATCAAAAAGAAACGGTGCATACTTTGGATTAAGTAGATAGTTCACTCAAACTAATTGTCGTCTTCATCACCACAATAAAATTTAGGTCGACCTACATTTCTAACTTGATTGGGGTTCCCTGCATTTTTTAAGTCATCAAAGTGTACAGAAGAGTCGGTATTAATAATGTGCCACCACTGAGATTTGTTTTCCATGTCCTGCGAAGATAACGCAAGTTCTGCTCCGACCCTGTGTATGTATTAGTTTTTTAGGGATATGTCAACCAGATAAAACGGCGGAATAGTAAATAAGTGTACCCCATATTTTGCAGACATTTTCCACTGGCCAAGTTTTTGAGCAGAAATGCCCCATTCCCATTAATCACTCGGACAGGAAGCCACTCAAAGTATTTGTGAGCTCTATCAAAATCCAGTTTTTGGAGAGAATTGGTTGACTTAGCGTCCTAAAGTGGTGACAAAATTGTTATCACTTTATTTATTTATTTATTTATTTATTTATTTATTTAACGTTTGTATGTTCCTACCTCTGGTGACTTTTGCAGGCAAATCCGTCCCGTACGTTTGTCCTCACATAGCACCAAATCCATGGTGTCGCTGACCCGACGGATAGTATTTTTCCTCGTGTTACGCAAGATAAACCCTTTTTCATCCATTTTGTCTATTTCTGGAATTCCGCAATAGTCTGCGGACCAGGTGAGCTTGGCCGGGTTCGCTGTGACCGGTACAACTAAACTGCCTTCTGATATCCTTCCAGGAATTGTGGTTCCAAGTTGCTATAAAAAATTAAAAATCGTCCTTTTTACAAGATTCGGAATATAATTCGGTGAAAAAAGTAGTATCACAATAGTTTGTTCGCAGTCCAAACTAAAGTTATTCATGAAATTATGTATGTACTGATATTTAATTCAAGATTTAAGCTATTCAAATTTAAAATTTTGAAATACCGAACCATTGACCACAGACTCAATCGAGAAAAAATTAGCGTTGGGCATTGTGTACACTTGGAGGCCGTTTCCTGCCTTTTCCAGGGTCTCCATTATGTACTTATGCTTGATTAAATAGCTGAGACGGAGAAATAAAATATGTGGCTGTAGCTTTACAAACGTTGTGAAAAACGATATTTTGATGGTAATAGAAAAAAATTGCGGAATGAATGATACGTTATGAAAGATTGAACAGTGGCGTCGATGGACAGGATGTGTAAATAAATAGATACGTTCATTTACTGAACAATCTTATCTTTTGTGCTTCTAATCTCTACATGATAAACTGTCCAAGTGTCATGTTTTACATAATTAGTGGAAACAGTCGTATGCACAAAAATAACTTTTCCGATATGGAAATATGTAGCGAAATATGATATATATTCATCTGACTTCATCCTTAAAAAATGTAGCGTTATTGCAAACCTTATTTATGTACAACGTGTTTCAAAATGAATGAATGAAATTAATAAATCATCAATAAAATAGGGAGGATGTTTTATTCCAATGAAAATATTTATGTGGTATATATGTATGACATCTTGTTCTAAAATACACAAAAGTAAAGTAGCCCTCGGAAGTGTATCATACACTGTGTATGCATACATAATTTACTGCATGTATTCATTCAGTCGTCATCGTCATCATAAGATAAACCTGACATTGTCTTTTGCGTCCGTTGCATCATGCTGGCAAAGTCATTGATAAGCCACCACTGCGCTTTGTTTTCCATATCTTGCGGGCATAATCTAACTTGTGCTCCAATCCTAGTTAAACATACATAATCGCAAATCGCTTGCTGTACTTTAAAAGGACGCGTTACCCCATGTTCTCGAGGCATTGACCACTGCCCAAGTTTTTTAGCATAAGAACCCCTGGGCGAGTGGTCACATTAACTGGAAGCCATTGAAAGTATTTCCGGATTTCCACTGTCTGACTGGAAGAACTTGAATTGTCGTCCTAAACAGAATAAAAAATGTATGTATGTACTTTTCTATGTATATTTTTTTAAATGCAACACACGTTTGGTAAAAGTTTAAGACACACGCGACCAGTTCCTCTATCGTGACAAAGTGCTAATTCAATCCGGTCCGATCGAGAAGGTTGGTTTCCTCGTATTTTGGTGATTAATAAAAACCCTTTTTCCTGCATTTTATGAATTTCTGGTGTTCCATAATAATCAGCCGACAATCGCAGTGCTGTTCCTGACTCTGTAACTGAAATAACAGAGCATCCTGACGAAATTGTTTCCGAGTTCCAGGTACCAATTTGCTGCATAATTTGTGCTTCTTTTAAATTGAATTAAATAAACTTGGAAATGTGTTAACCAAAATACATACCGAGCCATCCACCTTACTTTCAATCGTTATTGAGGTAATTGACGTAGCAACTGTTTGCACAACGTCCCACGTTTTAGAAAAGAATTCCATTTGAAAAAAAATGTATATAGACGATGGCAATGTGTATTATTTCCGAGCTGGGACTGGCGAAAGGCAAAATGCAACTAAAGTAGGGGAGTTAACTGTCGTCCATTCATATTTTTATGTGCGTATAGACAAAACAATTGTCGAATTATTATTTTCCCACGATGATATGGAACACAATCATCGATTTGTGTTATCTCACAATTATTGGTGGATACATACCGATGTTCTCGAGTTTTTGTAGCTTTTGTGCGCATAGAGATTTAGATAAACGAGTAATTAAATATTTAAGTATTTTTGCGTCGCCACCCTTTAAGTTAAACAATCTATAGTATATATGAATATCCGTGAGGCAGCCCTTCTTGAAGTTAAAGTTACCTTAAAGTTTCCATTCAAATTATTTATTTATCCCACTTTTAGAATACGACATCCTAGACATAGACTTTTATTTGGTTACACTCAGTGCCTAAACTAGGCCACCCATGAGGGTGGGCAAACTTATTGATGCGCCCCAAGACGCTCGCGCCTTCGGCGCTCGCGAATTTTTCTAAGCTTCGAAATGGCCATTTGAAAATTTGTTGCAAAGATGTGGTTTACTATCTTAAGCACAATTAAACCATTTTCAATCAAAAATCATTCACGTCAAGACCTTCGCCGGAAACTAATGACCCACCCTCACTTTGTGCAAGTATGTAAACAATAAATTTGCATAGCCGATGATTTTAGGAATGACTTTAGTTAGTTCGTTCGCACCAACGTGAGCAAACTATGAAATTGTTGAGTTGACTGTCAGTATATTCTAGCTGCGTGTCTCTGGGAGAATTAAAAATTTATTACCCCCAAATCCGTTAAAGTTACACTTTTTCGTGTGCGAGATACGGCACATTGCAGCTTTAACGGCTTTGGGGGTAGCAGATTTAGTAATCTCACAGAGACTGCGCTCATCATAAAAATCAGCACAATTTGTCCAAACGCAATTATTTAGTAGAAGTTCCGTCGTTTTATTTTTTAAGGATAATGTTGGGAACTTTAAACAAATCCTTAGTTTCTGCGTCGGTAGATTCCCATATCAAAGCAAGCCCGACAAATTTTTGGTTAAGGTTATTACATACACATCAGGAAAGTTGAACTAAATATGTAAATTAAACACGAAACTAAAATGCAGTGTCAAAGAGCCAGAGTTTTTTCAGACTATTTTAAAGATTTTACCCGCATTTCCTTTTCTTGATTTTTTTTAAATACAAAGGGAACCATATGGGTTCACAGATTCACTGAAAACTCACAAGGGAACATACCGATGTGTCCAACGAGTTAAGGGTCCACACTAATACCAAAATGACCACAGTACATGACTTATTAAACAAACTGAAGGAATCTTCGTGTACAATTCACTTTTCGTCACGTTGTGACGATATTTGTAACGAGCACATGAACATCGGTTTGCCAGTGAGGGAGAGGTCAGCCGCTGAACGATCAGGTCGACCACAGAGAAGCGTCGTCGTCTTCACGTCGTCTTCAGAGATTTCAAATTCTTTCAAATTTTTAAACCATTTCGAAATTTTGAAAAACTTTTTGAAATTTTGAAGAAATTTTGAAATTTTTAAACAATTTTTAAATTTTTTAAAAGTTTTGAAGTTTTCAAGAGATTTTGAAATTTTGAAACACTTATGAAATTTAAAAAAAATTAGAAGTGTGTAAGTTATTTGAAATTTGAAATCTCTGAAGACAACATGGGTTCGATCTGATCGCTCAGCGACCGACCCCGGTATCCCGCTGGATGGCCATGCGCTCGTCACAAATATCGTCACAACTTGACGAAAAGTGAATTTTACACGAAAATTCCTTCAGTTTGTCTAATAAGTCATGTACTGTGGTCATTTTGGTATAGGTGTCGACCCTTAATTCGTTGGACACCTCGGTATGTTCCCTTGTCAGATAATATTACAACGGTTGAATCTATGATTTGAATATTGCGGGAATGGCTTGAGCATACTTCGAAAATTTTGCAGCAGATATTCCAGGTTCGAATTTTCAACGATTTGAACACGTATTTCACCTACCAGGGATAAATAGTACCATAACATAAATTTTTGCCAATTTTGCTTCATTTTTCCAAACCTCGATTTTTGTTGAAATATAATGACCTCAAGAGTTAGCATGTGCTGTTTTATAGAGTTTTGTATTCGTTGCATGGATTTTTTGAATTAGAAAAAACATTAAGGGGCCGGAACATCGAAAGACACAATGTAAACGATTAGGAAAATTTCACCCTTTTACCCATGGAGATCCAATCATCTCTATCAATTGATGCCTTCATACAATTGCATAAAAACTTTGGATATCCTTTTTCTTCAAAAGAAGGATACCATGCAAGAACCCAAGGTGCACAGCATGTTTGAAGACAAATAGTCTGATAAGTGTCACGGTTTCTTGTCATGCAAAAAGCAATGCATAAAAAGCTTCTCATACATTTGAGGTTGACTAATCCTAAGTAAAAATCGAAACGTTTATAAAGTTTATCAAGTTGGGTCCCTTTACATTTTTTATCACTTCAAAACGTGACCCCAGTATCCAACGCCACAAACATGACAACTATTTTTATGAATTTACACTAACTAATTTCAACTACGAAACCTTGTAACAAATTTCCCATCTTGTAAATGTCTTGATAATGAATAGCAGATAGCATTCGAAATATTGACAAAATAAAGCAAAACTTTTTCTTCGACTTTTCCACTTAACTCCGTGTAATCCAATTATTTATAAAGTTTTTTAAAATTTTAGATTTTAATGTGATTCTAAAGTGTATTATTACTTATGGAAAAATCGAGTAATAATCTTTATTATGAACAACGAAGTCCTTTATCCTGATGAAAGGAAATATTTAGAAGAAAGTATTAATGATGGTCGAATTTAGTATCAACTTATAATAGGTTAAATATTGTCATTCCCATTTTTTAAATTCATTAAATTTTGGAAATCATAGGCATTATTATTGTGCTGTATCATTTATATTTAAAGTTTTAGTAGCCATGTCCGTACTCTCTGCTGTCACCCGAATTATCGATTATATCTAGTGCTTAGCGGGGCGCCTGCCTGCGCCACTTCAAATTCTGGCGCCCCGGGCAATTGCCCTGCTTGCCCACCCCCAGTTTAGGGCTTGGTTACACTTAACTTGGATAGCAGATGCATACACATACATATTATATATGCACATATATTATAGACTATTGTAAAATCTTGATCCCACGTCAAAGTTGATAGTTGATAATTGTATGCCCATTGTGGGGTGATCAGGACATGTATTCATTAATAGAGACCGCCAGGCCAGCGGTGGTAGAACATAATTAAAAGGCAAATTGCGACCAGTTGATAACTACATTTTTACTGATTTTTTACATCCTCGCTCCATCAAGTGGAACCCGCAACATAACCCAATTAAAAATAAATAGAGATAAAATACAACGCTAAAATTCCCCTCGATTCCCAAGCTTTTCACCTTAGCATCTTCTCCACCATGATACACATTGCGATTTCTACCCCTAAACTTCATCATTTTGACAAACTTCAAAAAACTGGTCGAAACATTTACAAGCCCGGATTCATAAAGTGCTCGAATTCTCATCTCCAGCCGAGGATCAAAACCATACTGGACACCCCAACCAAGTTCTACTGAAAACAAGTGTTCCTCGCTTTTTACGATATGTTTCGCCTGTGGAAGCAAAACCTTCAGCTGGGACTCGTAGTTATCAACATCACTCCCGTATGCTGCAAGTGCTGTCTTATTACAGTTCAAAATAGCCTGCAACAAAGTGATGTTATGTCGTTCCATAACGATAGAAATGCTGTCGTGAAGGTTATCCAAGAAAGAAGACGAGTATCCGCTATAACCACTCTGCGCATTTTGTACATCACTAAGAAAGCGCGAACGAGGTTTAGGATATTCCATGTATTTCTTCACCCTAGGAAAGTAAATCCTTACTTGGGGGACAAAAATTGTATAATGGCGGGCCAAAATCTGTTCGAATTTTGTTACCAAGGGAGGTTTAAGCGGCGCGGTTAAATCAGTTACGTTACTTCCTTTGTACGCGTTACTTAGAATGATGCACATCAAGAGCCATGGCGCCAGGATGCATTTTGCTGCAAAATATTTACGTAACGTTGGACCTATGGGGATGCTTTGTTCAAACAAGAAGGCAATTGGGAGCAATATTGGCGCCTGATTGTTACTACCATTTTCACTTCGCCCCATGTAGATAGTCACCTTTATAACGACGGCAATTACCAGGATGGCTATTATCAGGCATATCCAGATTTCTGACTGATAAGATGACAAGAAATGGTTGAAACTTTGCAGCCCGTTCGACTCTTCGGTCGCTAGTCCGTCGCAAGTTAAGAATCGCACGGATATTGAGGTCAACCGTATTGAATTAGTACTGGTAACCGGTAGATACAATTGAATTGTTGTGCGGCGGGGGGCCATGAACTCCAAGGACATGGACAAACTGTCAACGATGTAACTCTGATTTGGGTAAATTATGGAGAAAGACATTATGTCGGGGTTAGATGTTGGCGTGATTGTGGTAAAGGTTGGGGGCAATGTTTTCTTGACGACGTGGCGTTCTAATTCGCCAAACAAATCCCAGAGGGCAAACACTTTGTCGGGATGCACTGTGCGCGCGATTTTTCGGAATGATTCGGTCAAGGAATTCTCACTAGCAGGGTGAAAAGTAAATTTGTTAGGGTGACAGGACCAGCAGGAGATGTACCATTCGGGAAATCCTGAGATTTTTTCGGTATTCATGAGAACCACGCCTACATTGCTTTGCTTCCAGTCACGTTGAGTTTCTTGAATGCCTCTCGCCCATTCAATCCATTCTGAAACGCGTTTATTTTTTGAAAACATAACAAAATAGGTGTTTTGATTATCATAGCCTGGATTCGCTGTGTGTGTCCAATATTCGATGTAAGTTTTGCCCAAGGTAGGACGAATACTGAATTTGTCCATCGTAGGATATATTAGTCCGTGGAAGATGCATTTCCCCCGGAAATTGCCATTCTTTTGACGCTGAAAAGAATTTTGATGTTTTGAGACCCATTTTTTGTATTTCGGAATTGATTGATATCTTTCTAGCACAACTGGAAAGTCAAATGGGGTCAGATGAACGGAACTTTCCAAGTTTATGAGGTGGATTACACAATTCGAGAATGGTGAAAGTAGAGAATTAAGGTTGGTTGGATTTGGGTCCCTGAATGTGGTTGTTATGTTAGCCGTGAAAGAAGTGCTGATACAGCACGCCAGTAATAGGAGTAACGTGTCCTTCATGGTGGGAGGTCTACGTCGACATCAAGTTGAAGGTCGGCACCGACAGCACAATATATTCAACGGAAGGGATGTATGTACATAGTTTGCGAATGTGAGATACGCCACGGGGGTTAGTTTTCATGTTAAGCAACTTCAGACTTCGAACGGAAGGTAGAAATTCTAAATATGTAAGCTGTATGTGCATAAGTACATATATACAAAAGTAAACCATTCCAATTCTGGTGACGAAATGAAAAAAAAGTTGTCAACTTATCTACATGCGCAATATTTATTTTGATTTTATCTAGACTTTACAAGAAAGTTGCATGCAAAGTCCCGATCGCATGATACGGAGCACAGATATTGAAGCATGTTTTACAGAGTGAAGTCTATACATCCATGAGTCTAAGCTATTCTTTGATGACGGTGACCGAATAGTGTTTTGGAAAGACATGAATATAAGTATTTATATTGTACATATATACATAAGTACATCTGTTGATAGTCTCTATCTAAAAGCAGCTATGTCTTTATATAGAATTTGGCTCTATTTTACACCCGACTCAACCGCTATAAAATCTGTACTAAATAGAAATTGGGCTTGTAAACCATGTAAGCTTCTCTTCTTCACAAATTCATTTGCAACCGACTAGTGTTTATGTAAGTACTAATTTTTGTGTATGTTGCACAAATGTATATGTGTACATTTAAATATGTATTTATAGGAACGTTATTTCTCATAAAAATAGCCGAATCTATGCGTTTCAGATTATTTGAACTGAACTGAATTGTGAGTAATAATGTTTTCCGTACATAAAATTAAAAATGACATCAACATCAAAGGTACATATGTCAGAGCAACATACATTGCAAATGTTTCTTGCTTATATTTGTTCCGGTTTACATAAAAGAGTTGTTGAAATTTATCCTTATAGTTAGTGCAACACATGAAATACAATACATACTTACAGGCACTATAAATATGCAACAAATTTAATAAAGTTATGAGCTATTTCTCCAAAAGTACTGCTTCTGCTTGGATATTTACTTGACTCGTGTCACAAATTTTATTAACTTTTTTCGTCCAGGTAATTACTTGGTGTCTTCCAATTCCAAGCGTGGCCAAGAACATGGCTTTACAAACTTTCACTCGTAACCCGGCCCGTATCGGCAAATGATACACTAAGGTGTCATTTCTCCTAGATGGTAGCTGAGTACATCGAGACGCAACCCCGACAATACCAAAGCCCCTGACATACGATTTCTTTGCTCCCCAATCTATATTTATCCAAAAGTTGTCAAACAACTCTTGCCTAACTTCATCACTAAAGTGAATACATTTGCGAATTTTACTCTTCGCACAGGCAACCGAAGTACAAGCTGGACCGAGACTTCGACCAGATTTATGTGTCCTTTGAACTTGAATAGGCTTTGTTCCTCCGGTTGAAGAAGCTTCAACTTTTGAAAATCCGACATATTCCAATCCTCGCTTTCGTCTCCTACGATTTAGTTCTCTCACACTCCTACAATTTATTAAATTTAGGAGAAAATATTTTTAAATGCTTATAATAAAAATCGTTACCAAAATATAAATTGAACTTACTTAACATGTTTGTCATGTCGCGACATGTGATTTGCTAGCCCACTCGTAGTATAAAATTCCTTCTGACAAATGGAGCAGATCTTGGTTAATTTTGTCTCCTCTCCGGCCAGTTGGATTAATTCGCCGAGTTCGTCGCTGCCTTGGCTACCCACTCTGTCGTTAAGCTCAGCAGATTGATGTGATTCTTCAGAATGTACAAAATCAGAGCCCACTTCATCTGACTCATTCTAAAATTACGACACAATGTATGTATACATGTATAGCCCGTCAATAAGTTGGGTTACTTTGAAATGAAAAAGAAGCTAACCTCACTATTGTCGTCTTCATTGTTAGAATTTCCGGTTGTTTTTCCATCCAATTTTGCAGCAGCTTGTCGAGGGACACTGGCAGTTGTGGCTAAAAGGCAACTCAACAATCGCAGAAATTATAAGTTTCATCACATTCCACGATTTCGAGAGGACTCTCACCTTTCCATTCTTCCGGAAATAGTTCAAGGTCCTCAATTTCAAATTGAGGGTGGTCACCCAACTCCATTTTGACAACTACATTTTCAACTCCGCAATTTTCACGTGATGTTGTAGTCGTTTACCAGTCTAGGGACTTTGTCCACCTTAGTTCTTGCATCTTCCAGATCTGCCGAGAAGATTGAGACGTGATCAAGAAATGAGGACAGCTCTACTTTCAATTCTTCGTCTTTGTCCGTCTCCCCTAAAACAAAAATTATATTAATGTTTCTTAAAATATATGCACATAGTATGAACGCAAAGAACAAATTATATTAATTTAAGCAAATCATGTATACATTATACTCATTTTAATTGATAAGTTACCGAATCCATTGTCCATAAAATGTTGGGCAATGCGATAAGTCTGTGTAAGTTGGCGGTGCAATAATTCGAGCTGACTGGTTAGTTTAGTATTTCGAACCTCATCCTTATAGAAAATTGTGTCAAACTTCGCACGTGAGGAGTACTAATTGTACTAATTTCTAATTAGTTCACGTGAGCTTAATAAATCAGTTTCTAAGTAAATTTAGATCCTATAAAAGTTCAAAATTTCAACTTGAAATGTAAATGCCTAAAAGTTGTTGTGGTGTGAATAAATTTAGCAAGCTCAACGCGAGCAGCTGACAGAGTAGTATACAGTGTGGCCCGAAAGTTTTAGACTACAAGAAATCTGTTTCGTGACATTCGAGCTTTGTAGATAGAGCACTGTCGAGCGTAGTAGAGCGCTGTAGATAGAGCGCTGTGGTGCGCGTTGGAGAGTTGTAGAACGTTGTAAAGTGTTGTGGAGCGTGTTAGAGCGCTGTGGAGCGTTGTAGATAGAGCGCTGTGGAGCGTGTTAGAGCGCTGTGGAGCGTTGTAGATAGAGCGTTGTGGAGCGTTGTAAAGTGCTGTGGAGCGTTGTCGAGCGCTGTGGAGCGTTGTCGAGCGCTGTGGAGCGTTGTCGAGCGCTGTGGAGCGTTGTCGAGCGCTGTGGAGCGTTGTAGATAGAGCGCTGTGGAGAGTTGTAGAGTGTTGTGGAGCGCTGTGGAGAGTTGTAGAGTGTTGTGGAGCGCTGTCAAGCGCTGTAGATAGAGCGCTGTGGTGCCGCACCACTGGTGCGCTTTGGAGACTTGTAGAACGTTGTAAAGTGCTGTGGAGCGTCGTAGATAGAGCGCTGTGGAGGGTTGTAGAACGTTGTGGAGCGTTGTCGAGCGCTGTCAAGCGTTGTAGTTGTAGAGCGCTGTGGCGAGTTGTACAGCGTTGTAGATAGAGCGCTGTGGAGAGTTGTAGAGCGTTGTGGAGCGCTGTGGAGCGTGGTAGAGAGCTGTGGAGCGTGGTAGAGCGCTGTGAGGCGTGATGGATTAGATTAGGCGATCCTGGCCGAGAATCATTTTACAAATTATAATTCACATATTTAGTGCATGGTGCAAACTTTTGGGCCACACTGTAACATTCATCTTTCTTCCGATGCAAACAAATATGCCGTAGTCAGCTGCACACATACTGCATGGGCCAGGAAAAGTGAAAAGGCTTTTCCGAAAACCTAAACATCACTTAACTTAGTTAAGTAATAATTTTGATTTCTAAAATTCGACTAATAAAAATTTAAAAATTATTACGTGCAATTTTTTCAACTTATTCCAAAGCAGTGTAAGTTCAAAGTTAAAGTTAAAGTTAAAGTTAAAGTCAGACTTTAAACTTTAACTATATTGATGAATCAATCACCATATTTCTTTATTTTGTAAATAAAGATCTCTCTGTATTTGATTACATACAATGAGGTTCGAAATATTAACCGGTCAGGTCGAATTATTGCATCGCCAGCTCACACAGACTTATCAAATTGTCCAGCATTTTATTGATAACGAATTCGGTAATTTATACGTATTTATTATTAATACTGAGTTTAGTAAATTTGTAACCGATTTTCAAATTGGTTATTGTTTACATTTTCTTATACAATTGTACATGTGTTACAGGAGCAACGGAACAATTAAAGTTGGAATTGTCCTCTTTTCTGTGTCACTTCTCGACTTTGTCAACGCATCTGGCAAGTGCAAAAACAAAAGTGGACACCTTCATAGGTCAATCAGAGCCATGCACTCTTATCAATGAGATTGATAGTGGGAGTAGCGAAAATTATGGGGTGGAAAATGTAGTCATTAAGATGGAGGTGAGCGACCCCCCATGCCCAATTGAACTGGAAGACATTGAACTATTTCCTGAACAGTGGAGTGGCAATGGTAGAAACACTGTTTTTAGTTACAACTTTAAATAACTGTAGGTAATTTGTAACACTCTTGTTGCTTTATTTCAGCATCAACGGCTATTGTTAAAGGAAGAAGAGCAGTGAAACGTTCTAAAAATGCAGGCGAAAACTGCGAGGTTGGTCTTTTAAATTAGGTATAGTAGTGAGGTCGAGGTTGTTAATTCATTTGGTGGTTCGTACTAATTAAATACACCTTCCTTGTTTCAAGTACATATTTTTAAAATATTTTGTATCATATTGTGTTGTAATTTTAGAATGACTCGGACTCTGACTATGTACCTCCACCTTCTGAAGATTCACATCAATCTGAACTTAGCGACACAGTAGTTTTCCAGAAGAGCGACGACCTCGGAGAATTAATCCAACTGGCCGAAGGCGAAAAAAAATTAACCAAGATCTGCTTTGTGTGTCAGAAAGAATTTTATACTACGAGTGGGCTAGCAAATCACATGTCGAGACATGACAAGGATGCTAAGTAAACACAATTTACATGTATTGTTTATTATTTCATGATTTTTGAGAAAAAATCCTCACAAATTTTATAAATTGCAGGAGTACGAAGGAATTAAATCATAGGAGACGAATGCGTGGTTTGGAATATGTCGGATATTCAAAAGTCGAAGCTAGTTCAACCGGAGCAAAAATTATTCAAGTTAAAAAGACACCGAGATCCGGTCGTCGTCTCGGTCCAGCTTGTACTTCCTGCACGAAGAGTAAAATACGAAAGTGCGTTCACTTTAGTGAAGAAGTGAGAAAGGAATTGTTTGACAACTTTTGGATAAGTATGGACTGGAAAGCAAAGAAATCGTATGTCAGGGGCTTGGTAGATGTCATCCAGGATGATTGTCAAACAACCCAGCACCATTCGAGGAGAAAAATATAGTGTATCACTTACCGATACGGGCCGGGTTAAAAGTCAAAGTTTGTAGAGCCATGTTCTTGGCCACGCTTGGAATCGGAAAAAAGCAGTTGGTGAACTGGGTACGGAAAGATGACAGTGTTGATCATGGTAGTACCGCTCAAGTGGTCAAAGAAGATGAGGTCCATTGAAGATATCGAAAGTTGTAGTTTAAATGCATTTGTACAAGAAACTGAATAGTAATATTTTTATATTTACTGCTGATATTATCTAAAGAAGGGTATCTGTTATGGTGATCGTTTTGGGCTAAATTTCGATGAGTTTTGAATTATTTTGATAAGAAATTAAGGCGATTTTTTGGGCTAATATATCTTATCAAAATTCGTTTGGTTGTCAGTGGTTTTTGATTGGTAAATAGAGCTCAATGATTCTTACCCCGATTTAAGACTTGGGGAACCGTTTTGCCAGTCTGTCTGTTCGTCTGTCTGTTCATTTTCAACTTTGTCAAATGAACCCCGATTAACTGCAAACTTGGCGAGTTGGCAAATTATACTATCAAACAATTATTCAGCATGTCTACTATAACTCCAAGGGTCCTGTTTGAGTCACTTCCAACCCATGAATGTAATCAATGTTTTTTTCTTGTCGGGCTTTGGTTTATAAATATTGGAAATTTTATGCAAAATTGTAGCAACGCGCAACATGGTTACCATTTTATTAATACCTGTGGTAATTTTGCATGGTTTCCATTTTATTCCCTGTTTTTTGATGCATTTGAATTTATTGCTCGAAATCTAGAAATGTACCATCTTAAATTCTTTGATGAAAAATCACCAATAGTATGATCATCAACATATGCAAATATTTACAAAATCGTTCGTGGGCTTCGTATTTTAATTTGCGTTTTTGTTTTTGGCCTATCTAAATACGTGTTAAACATAGCCCAGGAGAATATTTGTTTCTCCACTTGTGGGCATGTACCATTGCTGAAATTTTCAGGAATGGTAGTTTGAAAGTTGTTTGATATCGTATTAAAAAAATCAGAAAAATCGTTCGTGGGCTTCATCGTTTTATAATTCATCGAAATTTAGCCCAATACGATCGTCTTAATAGATACCAAGCTTTCAGAAATTTGACGACTTATAAGTTTAGTTAACTTATCGTCTAATTTTGTATTACGTAATTGCAGAAGTTTATGTATTCCAATAAACTGCACGGTTGGCTTTAAATATGTATGAAGTCATGGCCTATTTTTGTTAACCTAGATAAGTAATTACGTTAATTAATCCACGTTTGTATCTAATCGTACGTTGTACATTTAGCTTCAAATTTTGACTCAGAAAATGCTACAAAAAATAGATATGCAATGATATAAAGAATCACTTATCTACTTGGAAAATGTTAACTATGTATCTGTATGCTCGCTGTAATCAAGGTTCCTGGAATTGCAAGGATTCAGACAAAAACATGCGTATTAATAAATGAATGTATATAAACGAAAGACGATGTAGCATGTGTATGCACTTATGTAAAATTAGATACATATTTATATACCTATATATACATATGTACATATATGGCATTCAGAAGAACATCATGTAATGGTACTGGTCGTCCATATCAACTCTTTAACACGTATGTGTATGTACATATGTATTCCATAACAAGCTAAAATTATGTATTTACATACTTATGCATGCAAAAAATTACGTTGCATCATCCATGAATCTACTCTACTTACTGATATGTTTGTATGTATGTCTTGGAAACGATGAATCAAGTTTCTCTTATAAAAATCTAGTTGTTTTTCACAGTTTACATGCATCATGCATCTCAGGTTAAATTTTCTCATTAAACCACATTAATACATATATTGTACACAGTACACACATGCTTAAACCCCTTAGAGATTAATACTTTTTAATTAGGAAGATACATAATATTTTGTTGTTTTTAGTTTTCGCCTTTGAAGAAACGGATTATCACATCGTAAATACGCCGGTATTAAGAACATATAAATTTCTATATTAAGGAAACCTTACACAGTTTACATTCTTTCCAAATTACAGGCGACATGGGGGGAGGCAGCGGCGACATGTAAACGTCTCAACTTTGGCGATCTCGTCACCATCGAATCAATGGATGAATACCTCGACTTGATCGATCTCCTTGCATCGGCTGGCGCAGGTAAGCATGCACTTTTTTTGTATTAAGTTCAATACAAGGTGGAGATTGCAAAATTTAATTTTGTTTACACACCAGTGAAGGGCCAAACATATTGGACGGATGGGGCTTATAGCTCGTCATCTTGGAAATGGGCATCGACCGGGGGGAAGATGCCACCCGGGTTGGGAAGACGCTGGCTGCGGGGACATCCTGTCAATTCAGCCTCTAACAAAGTCCTGCTCTCTTACCAGACGAAATTCGTGACTTTTCCAGAAACTCAGAAACACAGATTCATTTGCAAGGTGAAAAACTGATAATTTGTATGATTATACACAAACTTAAATGAACTCAGCCAATTCAATTGGCTAAGTTATTAAAATATTCCTAATATTTTATATCCGTAAATTCTGTAACCTTTCAAACTTTTAGAAAAGTTTATAAGTATAAGGAAAATTTTGCTACAAAATTTTGCAAGTTTACTCATCGTCAGAATTTTTTTGTTCAGATACTGATTTTTTTATATTTTCTTGAGCTTGAAAATTCCCAAGGACAATATTCGCGAGCGGCTAATATAATGCATACATACATATGTCCCCACGGTTCAACCTCTTTTCCGTAGCTATTGAGGACATTTTATTATTTTGTAAATGTTTCTAAAATTATTTTATAAAATTGACGTTGTTTACAAAGTTGTCAGGGACTGTGTTAATTGCCTAAACATGTGTATAGCTGTATCCATAGTCCGTGATTTGTTCATGATTTCGTCATGATTTGATGGTTTCTCGCATCCATCTCCGCAATTTTTAAAAGATTATTTTATTCCGATTTTCTAATTGGTCGATTTTTTAATTGTTGTGGTGCTTAACATGCTGAAATCATGAACCTGTGAAAGTGAAAGCATCACCAAATCACGTACAAATCACGAACTATGCATGCAGCTTATGTAGATATTTACATATTTTTTTAACACAGAATTTGAGTCCCATATTATTTATAGCCTATAACTTATAGGTTAGCCATTTATTTGAGCCTCATGCAAATATTGTGCATTGTGCGATTTGACATTAGTTTTTGGTTTGATTGGAAGTGTCACATTCTTAAATAAATTTGCATTCTTTATTATTTCTGCACAGAATCCAAGACCTACCGTGGCCGTCCCGTGTTAAAAGAGATCCACGAAGTTATCGGACCGCCCCATCAAACGCGCGCTGAGCGGGAGCAGATTGAAATTAAATTTCGAAAAAAATATTTTTGAATAGACCAAGTTATAAGCTTTCCATTGATATATATCACTAATTATTGAGTCATGGCTAAGACTAGAAAAACTTGGGTTGAAAGGCAAGAGTTGAAAAAAAGAGTGATTGTGTTTCGCAAAAATCGAACAAACTATGATTCTAAAATCACTTGGCACTTTTTCAAGCAAGAAGGTATTCCTCATTCAAATGTCAACTCTTACATAGAAAAGTACGAGGAATCCAATGAACTCAAATTCAAAGTCCCCACTAGTCGACCTGCAAAGCTAGCGGCGACTAAAGTCAAAAATCGGATGAAAAAATTCTTCAAAAATCATGCATCAACGACAACGGCTGCCACGACAAGGAAGGTCAAGATTTCAAAAAGCTATCTGAGCAAAATCAAAGTCCATAAACTAGGGATTATAGCAAGGACAAAAAAACCAGCATCAAATTACAAACCAACACAAAAGGAAAGGATTCATGCGTGCTGCAAGAAATTGTGAGAGAAAATTTGGGGAAAAGTGGTCATCGCGGACGATGAGCCCCACGTCACAGCTAATCCTTCAAATCTTCCAGGAAGGCATTTTTTCCATAGTTCCAACCCATATGAAGACAAAGTCCAAAGTCCAATATGAAGACAAAGTCCAAAAGAAATACCAATTCCCAAAAAAATGAAGAATTTGGCAACGCATGCCTAGCATTGGTCATGTTTCTGATCCCGTCATTTTGGAGGGCACTGTAAACCAGGAGGTTTATCTTAAATCATGAATTGAAGGGGGATTAGAATCGTTTATTACCAAAGATCATAAAAAATAAAGTTTTGTTTTGGCCTGACCTCGCAAGGTCTCATGACGCCAAAAAGGTCACTCAGAACCAAAATCTGAAAAAAATCGAATTTGTGCCGAAAAATTAAAACCCACCAAATTTTCCTCAACGGCGACCAATTGAGAAATTCTGGGCGCTAACTAACTCCAAATATTCTAAGCTTTCAGAAACGCTGGATACCTTACGAAAATTTAAGAACAGATGGAAGAAAATGAGCTTGAAAGTAGGTGCAGTCGATGGTCGGAATTTGATGCGAAATCTGAAGAAGAAAGTGCAATCTGTAGCACATACCGGAATTGAATCATTAAAATTTGAACTGTATGGCAATCCAGACCCTTTGGTAGTAAACATATGCAATTTTTTTGAGATTACATCAACTGTGTGTAAAGTTCTGAGCATTTGATTGCGGCGGTCCGATAACTTAGTGGATCTCTTTTACGTGACGAACGATTTGCTCGTCGTCCTCGACTCATCAGGCAGCATTTCGTCGCCTGAATGCATTATCGCCAAAGACTTTTCGCCCGGATTAGCACTCGCTTATCGCGACAATGAAGATTCCCGGGTAGGATTTACCATATTTTCCAACCAGGTGCAAACTGTGGTACATCCGGTCAATACGCTTACCCCGTCCGAGTCGGCGACCGCTGTGCAGGCCGCGATCCACTTGCAAAGCGGGACTGCGACGGATCTGGCCATCGAAAATGGAGCCAGTCTGCTTGCCAGTATTGACAGAGGCGTTATCAAGGTGAGTTTAAATAAATGGCTGATGAGTGAGTTTAAAAATTTGTATTTATTCGCAGAATTTGGTCGTTGTGACGGACGGGATGTCGAATAACCGTGCGTCCACGATTGCCGGAGCAAATGCAGCCATTGCGCGTGGAATTAAAACATACGCGGTAGGAATTGGACATTACGAAGGGGCTGAGCTTGTCGCGATTGCGGGCGGTGACCGAAGTCGCGTTTTCACGGTGCCCGGGTTTAATCAATTCCTCGCCCTCCTGAGACCAGTCTCTCTGAAGATGTGCGGGCCTTGAGATCATGGTCATGGCTTGAATAGATAACTTAATGGACACATATTGAGAAGGTTAATTTATTATTTCTTTCCTATACATATATTTATACTTCTGTTATTTACACTGCATCTGCCTAGCGTTACTGTTCAAGTTTTCAATTTCGACTCAGAAAATGGGACAATAAAAATCTGCATGAACCATGAGACGAACGAATAACGTTTCTTACCTTTGACTTCTTTAAGCACAGTTTGTGAATTTGATCGTGATGAATTGTGTGATATACAAAATCTCCTTGGAAATCTCCCTGGTCATTGATACTAAATAAATGATTTATTTTACGATTGTTTGGAAACATTATTTGTCATAGCATTGGAAATTCCATTGATGTTATTTATCAAGAAGAACATACATATTTTACTTCTGATAATTGTCGTCATCCAAGCAAAAAGTAAAACACGATCAAATTATCTTCCGCTTGGTCGACGCTTCTCCAGTTTTTCAGTTCTAAAACTCCAGTTCTTGGACCCTACATACGAAGTCGACAAATTTCTAGACTAACATTACCTTAGTAACTAAGGCTAAGTTTAGTTAACTTGTACAATTGCAGAAGATTATGTATTCCCATAAACCGTTGCAAACGAAATGTAGAAAAGGGGTGAAAACACACGGACTTGTCTTGTGGCACGCCCACAACGTGTTTGACTAGGTTCAGATAAACAGGTACATGGTGCTGGACGAGTTGTCGCAAAACTCAAAACGCTCTTACACGTGTCTAATAGAATCAAAAATTAAGGTACACGTGTTCGCGCGTTTTTTCTCAAGGTGCCCCAAATTTTTCATTTCGCCCCAAATACTGGGAAAAAACATTGTGGCGCTACCAGTGCGGTGATTGATTCCAAACTTGGCATGCAAGCCTTATTTGGCATTGCCCACAGTGCCTGAGAGACTTGGCCGCCTAGGTTTAAATTTACTATGCCAATTACCTGACAATTTTGACAATTTTTTTTGTTTTTTCAACATAGTTTCCTAGCTTATGTAATGGTATCTTTCTAGCTTTATATCTCTACAGAAACCCTATATTCTGCTTCGAATGCCGTTTCGTTGAACCTCATAGCTCAAATATTAAGCGTACTTTGTAGGAAGTTCGATTTTGATGGAAGTTCCCGCGAAATAACCATAATACTCATTTCCTTTATTAGTTTCAGTTCGATTTGCCCAAATTTTTGATATGTTCTTCATATTTTGTGGTCAAACAATCGTCAATTGCAACAAATGTCGAAATCGACCTGCGTGACCTTTTCTAGAGGTCAGAAGGAAATGTCGGGCACTAAAGTCTCATATAACCCCATAACCGGGGTATCGTTGGAAAGGTCTTGGAGAGCAGATTCAGAATATATATACTTTGTAGGGTCTGGAGCCATCCCCTAATAATTTAGAGACCAAAAAGCATTATTGAGTTTTATTTTTCCAGGTATACAGACGTTAACACAGGAGCAGATTGAGATCTAACATAGCAGTAGATTGATGAAAACTCAATTATATTTCTCTGTCTCTAAATACTTAAGGGGTAGTCCCAGACCCCACAAAGTATATATATTCTGAATCTGCTCTCCGAGACCTTTCCAACGATACCCCAGTTATGGGGTTATATGAGACTTTAGTGCCCGACGTTTGCTTCTGACCTCTAGAAAAAGGTCACACAGGTCGATTTCGACATTTGTTACAACTGACGATTGTTTGACCACAAAATATGAAGAACATATCAAAAATTTGGGCAAATCGAACTGAAACTAATAAAGGAAATGAGTATTATGGTTATTTCGCGGGAACTTCCATCAAAATCGAACTTCCTACAAAGTACCCTTAATATTTGAGCTATGAGGTTCAACGAAACGGCATTCGAAGCAGAATATAGGGTTTCTGTAGAGATATAGAGCTAGAAAGATACCATTACATAAGCTAGGAAACTATGTTGAAAAAACGAAAAAAATTGTCAAAATTGTCAGGTAATTGGCATTGTAAATTTCAACCTAAGCGGCCAAGTCTCTCAGGCACTGTAGGCAATGCCAAATAAGGCCTGCATGCCAAGTTTGGAATCAATCACCGCACTGGTAGCGTCACAATGTTTTTTCCCAGTATTTGGGGCGAAATGAAAAATTTGGGCACCTTGGGAAAAAAAGCGCGAACACGTGTACCTTAATTTTTGATTCTATTAGACACGTGTAAGAGCGTTTTGAGTTTTGCGACAACTCGTCCAACACCTTTCCCGTGAATGTCTCACATCACCCCACGTCGTATTTTCTCCCGTTTTGACACCCCACCCGCGTACTTCGAACGCAGACGACAATACCTTTCAATACACACCCAACATGACAAAAGTCATTTTTCGACATTCGGCACCACCCACACGGTCATGGCGTCGTCGCACGTCAAAATGATGGCGATTTCTGAAATCCCTGCCCAAAAATACGTCTAAAACAAAAAATTCGACACCTTTGACAGTTGGCGTCATCACCGTGGGGCCGTGACCTTATGACCTACAACGCCCATCTTCGAACTCATCCCGTCCCCAAAAATTAGAAATACGTTGGCGAAAACCGGACATCGAAATTCGAATCTGTTCTAAAGTTATCGGATGAGGACGGACAGACGGAAGGATGGACGGACAGGCAAGACATTTCCATAAAAGAGTTTTCACCCCTGAATAAACTGCATTGTTGACTTGAAATACGTGTGAAGTCATTGCCTATTTTCGTTAACCTAAAGTAATTACTTTAATTATGTTATGGTTCATGATTTCAGCATGTTAATCACCATAACAATTAAAATATCGACCAATCAGAAAATCGGAATAAAATAATTTTTTGAAAATTGTGGATTATGGATGCGAGAAACCATCAAATCATGACGAAATCATGAACAAATTACGGACTATGGATACAGCTTTATGCATGCAAAAAATTACTTCGAGTCACCCTTGAATCTACCAAAGTAAATATGGATGTTTGTATCATGAGAGGAGCGAATAACACTTGTTATCGAATTAGTTAAGCACAGTCTACGACTTTGACCCATGTGCAAATCTCTAACAAAATGATTTATCATGGTGAATTTAATTGATCTGGCGATAGAAATTCGGTGTTTCAGATAAAATAAATAATACAGGTTATTTTATTTGAATTGTAAGTTACATTTTTTATTGTTTATTTAAACGAGCTGGTTTTACTGTATTTAATAAAACTATTATTCGTAAACAAAAAGTGGCCACGGACAGTCTAGACGTCGACGGAGGGGACCCAGTAGTTTTATGAGCACTCCCATCCCTAAACAGACGGGTATGCCCATCCCTCGTAGTGAGCGCGCCCATCCCTCGAATCGAGTTACTTCTAAATTGGGAATTCTCCTCCATGAGGGAAATGCTAGCACGCGCGCATAGGTGGTAAATTTAAAGTGTTCGCCAAAAAATTTGTCCAGTAACTATACCCAGATAATTACATGCTAATTACGAACTTATTACAACTTCGATATATTTTTTTGCAATTTGAAATCAACGTTTTTCTGATTTTTAAATCAGAAGCATTTCATATCTCCGACTTTGTACATGTAGCGGTATAACAATGTGTAAAATTACAAAATTTAATATAATATGATACAAATGTAAGTAAAAGTAAGCAAAATATAATATGATAATGGGAAATATTAAGTCGTTTATTCCTTGCGATCATCACTATGGTATTCGTTTTCCTACTCACTTGACTACTCATCGTTCATGTCGTGAAGCCAAAAATAAATATCTTCACGAATGCTTAATATTTTCTCAGCGAACAATGTCAAAAAGAACAGGCAAAGTCACAAAAAGCCACAGCCAATCTAAATCGAAGCATGTGAAAGTTCTTTTAGAGTTGCCATGCACGAAGTTAAATCTACAGACGTCATAATTTTGTCTGATGGTAATGTTAGGGAAAACCTTACCAAGTATATTTGCAAGTAATCCCATTCTTTTTACGCTTGCGTCATATTAAAGATTGGTTTTAAAATGCAAAGTGACGAAGCTTATGTCATTCATAAAGTTCACAACTTTGTGTGTAACTTCAGCAAGAAAGATTAGCAGTACCTAAGCGAAATACATTACCGTCAGTGTGAATTTTACCAAAGTAATAATCTTAGCAACATAGCTTTTTTTCAGAATGCCACTAAAAAACGAGTTGTTATTTCATGGGTTACGACGTTCACGCAAATAACAATATGCTGTTAGTGGTAGCACAATCAAAGGAAAAATTAGGGACCCAACGTGGTAATAAGCCATTCCTGTCTCAATACTTGTGAATGTTAAGTCAGTTTGCACTAAATTCTGATTGTCAATGTCTGGAACAACGAAAGAGCAAATTGGTGGGGTCGTGTTTATGCTTGCCATTATTTTAACTATTTATCCGGTGAACAAAATGATGCTTAATAAGCATTGCTTATGTTTTGTATAACCCGTTGGTTTTTGACACGTGTTGGCTTTTTGTATTTGCCGGTAGTACTTGAGGGTCTCTCATTGGGGGTACTTAGCACAGCGAAGTCTTGGAATGGGTTGCAATATGAGAATGAAATGTAAATTTACATTAATAGGTATGTTTCATGTTGCTAATAAATGATTACAAGAGATTTGAAGGTGACTTCCAATATTGATGTGCTGAATTTAGCATATATATACATATATATAACCACCCCCTAACTACCCCCGTGACATTACGCTTAAAATGCTGCGTTTTACGTAGTTAGTGGGCATGCATGCGTTCCAATGCGCGGTCAACTAGGCGTCAGCAACCAATTATAACAAGATAACTTTTTTTCGCAATGGGGAATGATTTTTTTCAAATTTTTATAAAATTCAGTGTTAATTTATGTATTTTTTGGTCCATTGCGGTTTTTTAAATTTTGCAATTTTACGAAAAAATCAGGAGAAAATGCTAATTTTCAAAAAACCAGGGACGTGTATGCCCATTCCTCTCACTGAAAAGGAATGGGTCTTCCCGTCCCAGATTTTATTTTATTTATTTTCAAGTGAGGGACGTATATGCCCATTCCGCTCGCTGAAAACGATGGGCATATCCGTCTGTTTAGGGATGGGAGTGCTCATAAAACTACTGGGTCCCCTCCGTCGACGTCTAGACTGACGGAGGCGAGCCATAGTTTGGGCATCAAAAATTAAACAATTTACCAGCCGCAGTTAGGAAATACCGACCAGCTCCAAACAAGGACATGGATGTTTTTTAGGTTTTTCTCGATGTTCGCGTGACCATTTGAAGTGGTCACCAATTCTCCACGGGACGGATAAAATGCTCCGAGGATC